TGGGTATTTGAGCCGCATATTTTATTAAATACATATTACGTTTTGGCATATTCGCATCTTTCTTATAATATTGTAATTTGGGGTAGAAGCACTATGATAGACAGAGTTTTTATTCTTCAAAAACGTTTAATTAGGCCAATTTTTAGTATATCTCCGCGTAGCACTTGTAAGGAGTGTTTCACTACTAATAATATTTTGGCAGTGCCCTACATTTATATATAATATAGGAAAATTCACAAGATTCGGTTTGTACAAATTAAAAACTAACGATTGCTACCACGACTATAATACTCGACATGGTGGTATGCTTAGTATTCCTCCACATAGTCATTGCTATTATGAAGTCACCTTATTACTCAGGCATTAAAATATATAATAAATTTACCACGTTATATTAAGGATATAAAAACACATAATCAATTCAAACTTGAACTAAAGAAATTTTTAATTTCTGAATGTTTTTATTCAGTTGAAGAATTTTTAAATTAACATGTCTTCCCCAACTTTTTGTAATTTGTTTTTGTAGTAGAGTCAACTTGTGTCTACTGTTTGTTTTTTACAATGTATTTCTTGCTATCTTAAGTATTTTTCATTGATTTATACTCTTTTGATTTGACGGCTATATCTGTTTTTTGTAACAGCTATAGTGACAAATAAATTATTATTTTTATTATTAGTACATGTTAATTTTAAAGAAATTATTATTCACTACACAATATATTTTTCAGAACTTAAATAGTTCTGATTCCCGAGATATGAGGAGTCAATTTTTAGTTTACGAGATACCGGATACCTCACCCGTTTGAAGTTATCTTTATTTTTACTAATTTGCAGGAACCTCAACCCATAGAGGCTTGGTCAGAAACCTTGGAAGCCAACACTGTTCACACATGCCCTCAAGCTGAGTCTAGTGCTCCTGATCAAATAACTGGTCAGTATAAAGCACTCCGTGCATAACTTGCTAGAATCACGATTAATATTGCGACTAAGTTGTTTTATTTTTCATCAGGGGACGAGGATTGTCTCTACATGAACGTGTACATCCCTGAAGGGTCTGTGAAGAACCCCAAGGCACTCGATGTGATAGTATCAATCCATGGTGGTGCCTTTACGGTAGGTGCTGGACACATTACTTTCAATACATTCATAGAGAACGAAGCTGTGCTCGTATCTTTCAATTACCGTATTGGTATTCTAGGTAAGTGCTTCTTCCTTCACCCTTTGTCATGATTCAAACAGTCTTAACGTTCCAGGATTCCTCAGCACGGAAGACGACGTCATACCCGGCAACTACGGAATGAAAGACCAAGTATTGGCACTCAAGTGGGTCAGGGACAATATCGCTTCGTTCGGAGGAAACCCCGACTCCGTCACCATAGTCGGCCTATCAGCGGGCGCAGCCAGCGTCCACCTCCACTATTTCTCCCCCCTCTCAAAAGGATTGTTCGTCAGGGGGATTTCGCAGAGTGGTTCGGCTGTAGCACCGTTTGGGATTAGGAAAAACGCCTTGAAACGTGCCAAGAAGCTCGCAGTTTTAGTGGATTGCCCTGACAGTCCCTCAGAAGAACTGAAGAGCTGTCTTAAACAGAAACCAGCGCAAACGTTGCTAGAACAGTTGGTACATTTCTATAGTTTCGTCAACATGGTGCCACTAATACCTTTTGCTCCAGTTGTAGAAAAAACATCAGCAAACGCTTTCTTAGACGCAGAACCATACCAGCTCTTGAAGGAAGGTAAAGTTCTTGATGTGCCTTGGATTACTTCCTTTGCTGCTGATGACGGGCTGCTTCCTGCGGGATGTAAGTAGGATAATACAATAAGGGTTTATCCTATGCTGATTTAATCACGCAAAATTGCCAAATCAAAATACATAATTTTCCAGATTTCTCGCAAATCTTGGAAGAGGTAAACGAGAGATGGGTAGAACTATTTCCCGATCTACTGGACTACAGTGACACTCTAGATGCATCACAAGTGGAGGCAGTATCGAAGGAAGTTTTGGACTACTATTTGGGACCAGGAGAAAATATCAATAAGAAGAACTTCAAAAAATTTACGAAGGTACACTTTTCCTAACAGAAAACCAAAATTCGTCTTCTTTAAATCGGGCGAAATTATTTCCTTTCAGATTTTCACCGACAGGTTGTTTGCTGTCCCTGCAGAACTGTCAGCTAAACTGCAAGCCAGTGTAAACAAATCTCCTGTATATGTTTACAAATTCAATTACACTGAAGGTGAAAATAAAATGACCAACTTCATTCCAGGTCTTCAAGGGGTAGAAGGTAAAAAGTGACTGTTAATATAAGCAGTTGTTTAGTGGAGATCTGGATTCAATTCAAGGTCAAAGCATCTGGAGCTGGAACCAGGTGTCCAGCTGTCAAGGAAGGTCAGAGGAAGAAATTCTTGAAGGTGGTCGCCATCGGCAATTACCAGAGGTGGTACAGAAAAAGAGACAGGGACTGTCGACAATGACCTCCAGGAACTTTTTCCTCTGACTTTGCTGGACATCGTCGCCGTGGCTGCTGGATATCAATGATAACTCCTGATGGTCTGACCTCGAAGTGATAGCAAATCCCCACTAAACAACTAGTAACGTATAACCAGATGAAGCGTTAACTAATAAAAATTGGGAACAAAACTAAATTTTCCATCCAATTCTGTCCATAGGTGTGGCCCATGGTGAAGACGGAATCTACTTCTATGGGATGTTGCATATAAATCCGTTATCAGAACAGGATAGACGCTTGATTAATGCGTGTCATAACGTGTTGTACTCGTACGCTACCAGCGGGTAAATACTATATAAATCAATAATTCTTAAATAGCTTATTTCCTTCATTATTATCTTGTCAAACAATTTCGTTAAAGTTTCCGAGATTTTACTGTACAGCCTTGGTAGTATTCTAAATTGTGAAAAGCTTTTGTATGATAACGACGTTAAAATCTATATTTCCATCTCTTTGAATACTGTTCTCTAGTTGTCGATTGTTTAATGTGCATTTTTACTCATTTCCTTGCATTAGTGTACTTACTTTATTCTAGATCCTATACGTTTAATTATTTCAATTTTACATTTTACTCATACCAATTATTTCAGCTAACGTCCTGTAATTGGATTTGTTCCTGTCGGACTAATAGTAGGTAAATAAATAAAATTTTCATTTTTTAGTATTCCTTCTTTCGTTGGGACAGACACTTGGCAACCAACGGGATCTGAGGAGCTGAGTTACTTGGTTGTTAATGGACCGGAAGACTTGAAGCTGTACAAGACTGAAAATTTGACTCCTGTCGACTTTTGGAGCAAGCTCGGACTCCCGGAATATGAAAATGTTATTGTAAAAGACGAACCGTAATTTCCTTTCAGTATCTTATGTATTTTATAGAAAATTTTAACGGATACTTATGAAATATTCTGTCTATTATATTTATAAAGTGTATGGAATTAAAAAATTAAAAAAACAAGTTTTATTCTTTTTTGACTTATTTTTATTATATCACTAAATGGTCTTTATAAAATGCATGTAAAATATTTGCTGTACATATTATAACAGAAAATAAAATTAAGCCAAAAGTTCAAATTAATATTACGACTTATAGAATCAAATTATACAGGGTTATTAACAATTTATCCAAAAAAAATGAGGAATAGATGCGTCATGAAATATGGAGTGGCAGTTTCTTTCAGTGTGTAATTTTACCGGAAACGACGAGAGCGCCCCGTCAAACCAGGGTAGAATAGCGGATTTGCCAAATGCGATTGAACGCCAACAAATATTAACCAAGTATGACCTTGGGCCTCGAAATGTACGAACTTGCAGAATGTAATTCTTCTGAAGCTGTTCGGATTTACGCCAACCGTTTTCCAAATAGAATTTGCATATTTGAAGTGACGAAAATCCCTTTGCTATTATTCAGACAAAACACTGACAAAAATTTATCATTAATGTATGGACGGGAATAATTGGAAACTGCTTAGTGGGACCACATATCATTGATGACACTTTAAATGGGGGATAAATACGTTTATTTACTGCAAGAACACCTTAACCGGTTATTGGAAGATGTCCCTTTAAATATTTGAAATAAAATGTGGCTTATGCCCGATGATACACCACCCCATTTTAGCAGGGCAGTAAGGGCTTATTGCTTATTATCGATCGATAGATCGATCGAAGTACCTAGTCCTTTTCCGTGGCCGCCTTGGCCTTCCGATCTTAATCCTCACGATTTTTTCTTTGGGGTTATCTTGAAAGTCTCGTTTATTCAGAAAATGCATAGAAATTCAAGGTGCACATATTGAACATCTTACTGAACCGTTCTCTTTTTTCTTTTGATTCTATAGAAAGATTTTCACAAAAATGTTAGCATCACATTTTTGATACAATAAATGTATATTGTTAATAAAATTCGATTTTCTCAAAAACGGTACAAGGTATCGACTGATATATGGTAGACCTTTTTTTAACAAAGTGAGAGAAGAATCGAACTATGAAAAAAAATTCAAATTTGGCAACGCTGTCAAAGATATATAAATTTAAATGTATAATTTCGCCTGATCCTGTATAATTCAGGCATATTGAATATCAGTTTAAACTTAGAAATGAACATTATTTTATACCACGAGTTACTTTAATTGCCCAAATTTCGTTGTTGTCATGGACTTATAGTTGGAATTTGTTTTTCAAACTTCTTTCTCTGAAGGCGAATAACTCCACGACGAAGCCTGATATGAAATATTTTTTTATTAAGTGCCACATCTATTTTGACCTTCCCTGTATACCCCTTCATTATTGACATGAGCTTACCGGGCACCCTGTATAGCAGTTCTCGCTCTACAACCTCTTATCTTATCAAAAAAAATCTGAAAAAACATTATAATTATAGAAACAACTACATACAAGTTCATTATTAAAATCGATTCTATGGACGGTTTTTTGCTATCTATTTCCGTCAATGTTAAACGAAACTATTTTTAAAACAATACTATTTGCTGAAAATTCACGATTTTATGAGTTGTTGGCATTAGGAAATGCACTTTCGCTCTAGCAGAATTATACGTGTTCTAATTAGGCCAGTTCTACCCTCACAACTGTTAAGATAATTGATAAAATAGTTGCAACGTAAAACTGCCTGTCGGAAAACAGAGTTCCTTCCGTAATGTTGTGTAAACTAGTTTCTCTAGCTCTTCTTCTCTATTTTGGAGATAATTGTAAGTATCTAGCTATAAATAAGTCTTTAGTATGTCCATGAAAGCACGTATAATAATTATTTTACAGAAAAATTTAATATTTAAGTTATTATAGGTATATTATTATATACTTGCAAGTCATTAATGATGACTTGTTAAATTCGAAAATTCGTTACTATTGACTGATTCATCCAAGGTCGGTAATCGATATACAGTGCATTAAATAACAGTGATACCTCACGTTTTAAGTATTAGTATAAAATTTCTATGAAATTCTCTCCCAACCCAAAATAATGCCAAGAGAAAGACCTTTACAAACTTGGAAATGTTTTTAATGGTATATGAGATGAATTGATTATCAAAATTAATGAAATCATTAATCTTTATTAGTGACCAAATATTTAACTGGCCATTAAATTTTTTGGATTCTTACTTTTGATGGTGTTTTCTTTTTAAGACACACCCTGTGTAACCTTTTTTTCTATGGATTAGTACCCTGTTTTTGGCTTAAAAATAACGCACAGTGTCGTTTAGATTTCTTATTTTAACTTGAAATTAGTTTGTTTAAGTCAGGATGATGTGCCAGAGATAGTCACGCCTTTGGGAAGAGTTCGAGGCTATTGGAAGACATTAAATGATATCAAACGTGCTGCATTTGAGGGAATTCCATACGCAAAACCACCCGTAGGCGATCTTAGATTTGAGGTGTGTCAAAATATTTGCAACTTTCTTTTAAATTCATTACCTTCATTTATAATCAATTTTTTGAAAGTTTCATGATAACTAATGCAAACAATTAAAGGGTTAAAAGAATTTCCGAAATTTTTCCGTGATTTTTGGCAGACTGTATTTAGTAAATTTTGTAAATTTTGCAATTTTTTTTGGGGTTATCTTAATTAAAATGGAAAAAAAATTGTTTTTGAGGTTTTTTCCGCAAATAACGTTTAAATTGATGAAAAAAAACTTTTCCAATTTTTTTTTTGAGAGAAGAAAAAGGGTAGTTTTGAAAAAAAACTGTTTTTTAAGTGATTACAGACTGCACAAAAATTAATTAGAAATTTGTCTCAAAAAAATTGTATGAATCGGGGTCGAAATCTATTTTGGGTATTGGTATTTTTTTTAAACTTTAATTTTGATGAACAGAACCATAGGACGGAAAAGCCGAACCGTGCTGAAAACAATTGGATTGTGTTTTCTTCAATGTCAAATTTTGAAAATTTTTTCAAAAATTTTTCGAAAAAAAAATATTTTTTTCATCAATTAAACGGTATTGGTGGTAAAAATGTGAGAAAACCTCAAAAAACATTTTTTCCATTTTAATTATGGTTAGCCAAAAAAAATTGCTAAAGTTTTTTGTCGCTCTATTTAGATTATTAAGTGTTTAAGCTCAAAAAATGACCCTTTAATTTTTTTCAAAAGGGTTCTTCTGGGATATCGAACTGTAAAAGTCATGCTTAACATTAGTCATTTCGTGAATATTTCTAATTTAGCCGTCAATTTTCTAAAAAACCATAAATTACCCTTTTTTCCTGTTTTGTAAAATTCGTGTAAAATATGAAAAAAAAAAAATTTCCGAAAAGTTGCGGCAGCATGTTATACGAAATTTATTCCAGTTTTGGAAATTGCGCTTCAATTCTCTGTACGACCATTTTTCACCTAAGTACAGACGGTCAAAAATCACGGAAAAATTTCGGAAATTCTTTTGACCTTTTAATTGTTTGCTTTAGTGTAGAACATTGAACATTGAACATTGAAAGTAAGCCCTAAATGAAAAAAGTCATTCTTTATAATCCAGTCACTGAAAGAGAAAATAAAGTAAAATCTCCCAATTTTTCCGGATAGCATGGATTTTCTTGAGAATTTGCATACAAGCTCATATGACCCCCCACTTCAAAAGTTATATTGTCTAGATGTGTGCTTTTTTTATTTGGGGGTGAAAACCACCCCCTTGTATGAAAAAATGCGAAAATCGTAGATTTACGTATTTTAAAGATTCAATTCATGTTCAAATATGTTGGTTGAAGTTCCTTAATGTTTTTTAATATAATTTATGAAATTTAATTACTTTTCAACCCTTAAAAATCCTTAAAACTAACCTTCCATGGCCAAAAAAATAGAAAAAAAAGTTGTTAACAGTTTCAAATATTCTTTTGGTCCATTCACAATGTATTGCATTTTTTTTGTTATTCATTAGAAAGCTTACTTTGATAAGACTTGTAGTTTTTGAGACATTCGCGAAAAGTGGCTCAAAAACATGCATTTTTTTGGGCTAAAAACGAACATGTCAATTGCAGGGCATTTAGTAATAACACTATTAGGAAATACAGGTCCAATATTAAATATAATAATTATTAATTTTTTAATTATTACACAAATTCATTTTTTTTTATCATTATAATAAATTAACCATTTTCTGCAAGAAGTAACATTTCTCCAAGTCACTGTTGGATGTCCCTTATATTTTTTTACAAATTTATAGAATCCTGAACCCGTTCAAGCTTGGGCAGGGACTTGGGAAGCCAACGTTGCTCATACATGTCTCCAAGTTGTATTTCTCACTACTGAAGAAATATCTGGTCAGTATAAAGAACCAAGGAATGACAATTACACTTCTAATAGTAATAGAATACACCTTCAAAATTTATATCATCACCATTATTGAAAGAGTGTATTTTTTATTAGGAAACGAAGATTGCCTTTACTTAAACGTGTACATCCCTGAAAATTCTGTAAAGAACCCAAAGTCACTTGACGTTATAGTTGTCATCCATGGAGGTGCCTTTATGGCAGGCAGCGGACACACGGCTTTGAATACGTTCCTAGACAAGGAGGTCGTGCTTGTATCTATCAATTACCGTGTTGGTATTCTAGGTACGCTGTTTTTTCGGTGTACCATATCAGTGTTTATTCAATTAACGTTCCAGGATTCCTCAGCACGGAAGACAACGTCATACCCGGCAACAACGGCATGAAGGATCAAGTCTTAGCACTCAAGTGGGTCAGGGACAATATCGCTTCGTTTGGGGGGAACCCCCACTCCGTCACCATAGTGGGCGTATCAGCGGGTAGTGCCAGTGTCCACCTCCACTATTTCTCTCTTCTCTCTAAAGGATTATTCATCAGGGGGTTGTCGCACAGCGGCACAGCCCTAGCACCGTGGGCAATAAGGAATAATGCTTTGCAAAGTGCCAAGAAGCTTGCTGTGTTGGTGGGCTGTCCCGACAGCTCCTCGGAAGAACTGAAGAAGTGCCTTAAGCAGAGACCAGCGCACGCTCTGCTAAAGCACTTGAAGTATTTCTATGGTTTCGACATCATGCCATTCTCGCCTTTTGCACCGGTGGTGGAAAAAGGATCATCAAACGCTTTCCTAGAGGCGGAACCTTACCAGCTTCTAAAGGAAGGGAAAGTCCTCGATGTGCCTTGGATTACCTCCTACACTACCGATGAAGGATTGCTTCCTACAGCACGTAAGTGAGGCTATATAATAAACTTTCTTAATGCAAAATTGTCTAAAATAATTCAAATTATGTAATTCTTCAGTTCTTTGGCAAAAGCTGGAAGAAGTAGACGAGAAGTGGATAGAAATAGCTCCCTATCTGCTAGATTGCAACGACACCCTAGATGCATCAAAGAAGGAAGCAGCTGCGAAGAAAGTTTTAGACTACTATTTGGGACCAGGAGAAAAAATCAGTAAAAATAATTTCAAAAAATTTACAAAGGTACATTTTCTCAATTTGTACAAATTTTATTTACTTTATTCAGTTTTTATTTCCATTTAGATTTTTAGTGACAGGTTGATCGCTGTCTCTGCAGAATTATCAGTGAAACTACAAGCCAAGGTAACGAAATCTCCAGTATATCTCTACATATTTAATTACACCGAAGGTGAAAACACAATCAGGCACCTTTTCTCAAAAGAGGAAGAAATACAAGGTAAGAACATTTAACTAGAGAAGAAGTGGTATTGAATAAATATTACAAAAACCAAATCTACCATCACAATTTTCGCAGGTGTGTGTCACGGTGATGATGGAATCTACTTCTATAGTTTATTACAGATAAAACCATTATCGGAACAGGATAAACGCTTGAGTACTGCTTGCCAGAATATGTTGTACTCATATGCCAGCAGCGGGTAAAAATAACATAAATTTCCTTGAATGACCTATTTCCGTCATCAATTCCAATTTTTTTAGTATTCCTTCTTTCGATGGAACAGACACTTGGCAACCAATAGGATCTGAAGAGCTGACTTACTTGGTTGTAAACGGACCAGAAGACATAAAACTACAAAGGAGCGAAAGCCTGGCCCCAACTGACTTTTGGAGTAAGCTTGGACTCCTGGAGAATGAAAACCTTGTTGTAAAAGATGAACTGTAGATTTCTTTATGTGAATTATAAACATATCTCACAAAGTAGAAAATAAATTGATTTAATCGTTCTCCTTTTATTATTTTATTAATATTAATATTCAAAATATTATAAATTACCTAATTTTCCAAGTCCTATCCTGGCGATTGCAATAAATAAAATAAGTGACAATATCATAATTATTGTAGTGTAACATTCCTGGTCGGGTCCACATCTAAAGATAGTCTAACGCGGAATGTTATCTAAACTGCTGTGTCTATTTTTGGTTCTCTCCTTTGAGGGCAACTGTAAGTAACTATATTTATTTCCTATAGATAATTTTTTATTTAATTCTTTCTACAAAACGAGTTTAATAATTTTCTTATCTTATTTACTACTACGGAAAGAAATATCCCTTAAACTATGCTGTAATATTATATGTAAATGAATGTGATGTAACTGCAAATCATTATTATTAATTATAAAACATTATGACATAACTCTTTATCCAATATTCCATTAAAAACTAATAAAAACACTGAAATCGATCATTCTAACCATTATATTTTAATTAATAGTTTCTTTACTACCTCCTTACATCTTTTATAACTCTGTGGGATCTTTAAAACTCCCAATAATATTGGAAATAAGCTTTTAGTTAGTAATTAATTTTGGTAAAGCTGCCCTAAGTGACCGTGATCTGCCAGAAGTAAACACGCCTTTGGGCAGAGTTCGAAGATTTTGGAAGACTTTAGGTGATTAAAAATTGCTGCTTTCGAGGGAATTCCTTACGCAAAACCACCAGTGGGAGAGCCAAATCCTTGTAAAAATAAATTAATTTGAAGTTGTTCCTTTTATAGAATCTATGTGAATAGTACACAAGGGTCAGATTCAGTCTGTACAATTCCAACCATGACAATTTGTTGCGGGTTGCCTACATATGAAGTCACACTAAAAGAGTATTGCGCTAGGCCTACCCTGACCTTTACTATTAACAGAGTAACTGATAGTGATAAAATAAATATACCAACGTAATTATCTGTATCTTAATAATATCTGTAAATAGTTCACTGCGTAATGTTGAAATTAGTTTGTTTCATTTTCATTCTCTGTTTTGGGAACAAGTGTAAGTAATTAAACTGTTTGTAATTGCTTTAACATTTTTACATTAGAAGTGTGCAATAATATTTTTCTATGCTTGATGTAAAAATAAGGATTTTCCCATGGTTCCTCTATAAAGTGTGATATGTATTTAAAATAAATTCATTTATACTTTATGTACACGAGAATTTTAAATTTATGAAGTCACTAATTCATTTTATTTCAATGGAACATTAATTTTTAACAACCCGTGTTTAAAATCAGCTAACTGTGTATTTCTAATGAATTATTTTTTAAACCCTTCCAAAGCAACATATGCATCAATTTCAAAGAGCATTATCTTTATTGTTGCATTTTTATTGCGTATATTTTACTTAAGTTTTTTAAACATTTTTGTAGATTCCTACTTGTGATAAAGAACTTTGTCTTGTTTACTCTCCCAGAAATATAATTTAAATAATTGTAGGTAAGCAACAAAATAGCAAGTCATTAATATTTCGTTGTGATGCACTTGTTGTCATTATATTTTCGGGAAAAAATACTATTAGAATTTTTTTTAGAAACGTGTTATAAACAAAATATCAAAATATCAACTCGAGACTAGTTGGGAAACTTTGTTAAAACAATGGTCAAAGTTATGGAAAAGTGGGTTTTTGACTCGCGTAAAAAAACTGTTATTCATATAGAAAAAAGGTTTATATAAAAAAGGTAGGTATTAGATAAATCTGTAAAATAAGACAAGTCCGATTAAATTCCGATAATTTGTTTATGCGCAAGAGCTCAAAAATGGTCGAAAATGGCCGTTTTTCCAATTGCTAATAATTAATGCAAATTTCATCGCAGACACTTGTAATTCAGCATTTTTGAAGGTCTTTGCACCCTTAATAAGTGGTAAAAATTTCAGCCCGAAAGCTTCATTAGTTTGGCGTTGGAGGAATTGGTTATCTAAGAAGATGCTATTTTTAATTGATTTTTCCCAAGCTCAAAGGCGTTGTAGAGCTTCTATCATTAGTTGTTTTTGCACCTAAATAGTTGTATTGACATATGCATTTACTGAGAATTTAATTTTTCAAATTTAATTCGTTTAAAAATGACTGAAAAAATGTTAATATTTATTAAATTGTTAAGATAGGTAATTATTATAAAATGAAATAGTAACGTCTATAGTTTAGTTAGTACTATTTTTCTTTGAATTTAAAAAAAAATCATTCTAAGTTGATTAGAAGCTCAGACTTTTTTTTTTTAATTAATCGCAATGTCGCTCGCGCCATACGTTCGCTAGACCGAGTAATAGAACGCATCACCGCTATCTTCTTTTTTGCAATTAAATAGTTGAATTCACCTTAATGTTAATGTAGGACATGAAAATATAGCTCTTAATGTATACTCTCTCCAAATTTCGGCTCTTAATATTAATAATTAAGGTCACTGCGATTAAATAAAAAAAAAAATTATCTCAGCTTCTAATCAACTTACAACAACGATTTTTTTTTAAATTCGAAGAAAACTAAAGTAAAGAGGTTACTATTTTATTTTATAATAATTACCTATCTTAACAATTTAATAAATATTAACATTTTTTCAGTCATTTTTAAACAAATTAAATTTGAAAAATTAAATTATCAGTAAATGCATATGTCAATACAACTATTTAGGTACAAAAACAACTAATGATCGAAACCCTACAACGCCTGTGAGCTTGGGAAAAATGAATTGAAAATAGCATCTTCTTAGATAACAAATTCCGCCAACGCCAAACCAATGAAGCTTTCGGGTTGAAATTTTTACCACTTATTAAGGGTGTAAAAAGCCTTAAAAATCCTGAATACAAGTGTCTGAGATAATTGCATTAATTATTAGCAATTGAAAAAACGGCCATTTTCGATCATTTTTGAGCTCTTGCGCATTAACAAATTATCAGAATTTAATCGGACTTGTCTCATTTTATAGGCTTATTTAATACCTACCTTTTTTGTGTACACTTTTTTTGCTATAAATAATAGTTTTTTACGCGAGTCAAAAAACCACTTATCCATAACTGACCATTGTTTAAACAAAGTTTCCCAACTAGCCTCGAGTTGATTTTTTTGATATTTTGTTTATAACACGTTTTCGAACAATATTCCGCGGAGAAACTTCTAATAGTATTTTTTTCCCGAAACATGTTGTTTCATGTCTATAATGACTGGACTATATGTGGAATTTGTAAAATTTCCAATAGCAGTGTCAAAAAAAATCAAGCTGTATTGGCTACAGCATTGTTCTATGGGTTAATATTTAGTTTTTGCTGTTTGAAAGTAGTTTGTTCAAGCGACGATGATCTGCCAGAGATAGACACGCCCTTGGGAAGAGTTCGAGGATTTTGGAAGACTTCAGGTGACCAAAAATATGCTGCTTTTGAGGGAATTCCATACGCGAAACCACCAGTAGGAGATCTCAGGTTTGAGGTGAATCAAAATATTCACACTTATCTTAGGCTCATCATCATTTACTCTTCCATTTCAAATGAATGGCTTTCTAGAATGTCTTAGTTCTTGATTACTTGTTAACTAGCTGTAGTAGTAAATGTGCAAATATTTTACCAAGTTCCTATTGGATGTGGTTATCTTTACTTTCATTAAATTGTAGGAACCTGAACCTATATCAGCCTGGTCAGGAACTTGGGAAGCTAACACTCTTCAAACATGTCTTCAACAAGAAGGATTTCTGGGTCCAGAAGACGTACTTGGTAAGTATAATGCACCACACTCGATATTCTAAATCGAATAGCTTTTAAAAAACTTGCAGTTATCAAAAAATAACCATTGAAACCAAGCTTCTGTATTTTCCATTAGGAGAAGATTGCCTCTACCTGAACGTGTATGTCCCTGCTGATTCTGTGAAGAACCCCAAGACCCTCGACGTAATAGTTTCAATCCATGGCGGTGGCTTTATGATAGGCAATGGTCAGATGGCCATGAATATGTCCCTAGAAAACATTGTACTTGTATCGTTTAACTACCGTGTTGGTGTTCTAGGCAAGTACTTTTGGCATCATCTTCAAATTGTTGTCTTCGACGCCCAGATGTCAGTGTTAATCCAATCACCGTTGACATTTCAGGATTTCTCAGCACGGAAGACAACGTCATACCCGGCAACAACGGCATGAAGGACCAAGTCTTAGCACTCAAGTGGGTCAGGGACAACATCGCTTCATTCGGGGGAGATCCCCACTCCGTCACAATAGTAGGCGGATCAGCGGGCGGAGCCAGCGTCCACCTCCACTATTTCTCACCCCTTTCTAAAGGATTGTTCGTGAAAGGCGTTTCACAAAGTGGCACAGCCCTAGCACCGTGGGTGATCAGAAGAAACGCCTTGCAACGTGCCAAGAAACTTGCGGTGTTGGTAGGCTGTCCCGATAGTCCTTCGGAAGAACTGAAGAAGTGCCTTAAGCAGAGACCAGCGCAAACCTTGATAAACCAATTGGTACATTTCTACGGCGTCGGGATCATGCCCTTCTCACCTTTTGCACCAGTAGTGGAAAAGGGATCAGCAAACGCTTTCCTAGACATGGAACCTTACCAGCTTTTGAAGGAAGGTAAAGTCCACGATGTGCCTTGGATTACCTCCTACACTACCGATGAAGGATTGCTTCCTGCAGGATGTGAGTAAGATGATATAATTATGCTTTCGTTATTCATTTCTGTACTGATTTATCAGTGCACAATTGTCTAAGGTAATTCAGATCATATACTTTTCCAGTTTACTATAAAAATTTGGAAGAAGTGGACAAGACCTGGGTAGATATAGCTCCATATCTGTTAGATTGCAATGATACCCTACCTGCATTAAAGAAGGGGACAGTAGCGAAGGAAGTGTTGGATTACTATTTGGGACCAGGTGAAAAAATCAACAAAAAGAATTTCAAAAAATTTACACAGGTAGATTTCCTCAACCAGAAAGACAAAACTTACTAGCTTTTTACTATTCCATTTAGATTTTCACTGACAGGCTGTTTGCTGTTCCTGCAGAAGTATCAGCTAAAATGCAAGCCAAGGTAAATAAATCTCCAGTTTACGTCTACCATTTCAACTACAGCGAAGGTGAAAATAATGCAGCACAGTCCTATATAGGATCAGAAATAGAAGGTGAGACTGGTGATCAAAGCAGCAACATATAAGAAAAATTACCTACCGTCCATATTTTTTCGCAGGTGTAGGCCATGGTGAAGATTGCATATACTTCTATGGGATCATGCAAGTAAAACCACTATCGGAAGAGGATAAACGTTTGACTAATGCTTGCCGCAATATGTTGTACTCATATGCCAGCAGCGGGTAAAATGAAAATTCATAAATATGTACGTAAATGACGTTTTCCTTTAATAATTTTTATTTTTAGTAATCCCTCTTTCGATGGGACAGACACCTGGAAAGCAACAGGACCTAAAGAGCTGACTTACTTGCTTATAAACGGACCAGACGACATGAAGCTGCAAAGGAGTGAAAGGGTGACTCCTATTGACTTTTGGAGCAAGCTAGGACTCTTGGAATATGACAATTTTGCTGTCAGGGATGAACTGTAGTTTTCTTTTTTAACAAATAATTTTGTTTGTTCGTGAAATTTTCTCAATTTTCACAAATTCACTGAAAACGTTCACTATTGATGGCTGTCAAACAAATACTAAACAATATGGTGTCTTCAAACTTGACACATATGCTTTATAAATTGTGTAATTTCTAATACAGTGATATTTTTCAAACAACTACCGCCATCTCTAGGTCAGGCCGGGTACTTTTGGGACCACCCTCGTACATATAAAATGGTTTACTTTTATTTATAAGTACGTGAAAATAATTCTTAAAATGTGGGATTAGGATAACAGCAAACGCATGTTTTACAAACGATTTTTTTTAAGTTATTATTTTATTTGAGTAAATTTAAATAGTAACAATGAATAAACAGAACATCAAGGAATTTATTTTTGTGCTTACTTTTGTTCTACACGTTTTACTTTTCAAGATTTCAGTACCTAAAAACGCCAGAAATTTGACTATTTCTCGACCAGGGATATGGTCACCTTTGTTTATGATGACTGATCTACTTATCCAAAGATGTAACGGAAATTCTATATATAAAAATACTGATATATAGTCTTTTAAGTACTATTAGATTATATCCACATGTATAATTATTATCTCCCTAATTTATTTCATAACAACGTAAACATTTGTGAAACTCCTAAAAGTAATGGTAACAAAATCAGATTTCGTTGGGCATAGTATTTTTCTATTTCTATTTTTCCTTGATCTTGGTTATGCTATTCCAAGATTTAGGCTTGAAAGTTCAAGCAACAGGATCAGTCAGAGATAGAGACAACTGACAGATACCTTCTCATTTTTATCGGCAGAAATATGCCAGTAGACCTAAAACGATAGATGGCGCCCGTTCAGAACTCATCAGAGCGTTTATGATTTTTCCACTCCTTAATCTTTGAAATGAATATTTGGTCAGTACAAAACACGATTTAAGTTGATACTCTATCCTGATCTTAAAGCTCAGAAATTCAGTGTCATTATTGAAATTCAATGTTTTTATATTGGTTATTGTCTTTAGTTTCTAAATGTCAATGAATCAATCAGCGTTAACATTCCTAGGAATCTTTAACATGGAAGACGCTGTCATACCCAGCAACAGTGGCATGATAGATCAAGTCTTAGCATTCGAGCAGGTCACGCTAGCGTCCACCTCCATTATTTCAATCCGATCATACCAGTTCTACCCTTGTGACTGTGATAAACAAGATAAGTGGTAAGTATATATCTGTCAGATTTGTATCTAAGGATACGAGTAGTCCAAATCGAAATGTTGTCTAAATTGGGTTGTCTGTTGTTTGTTCTCTCGTTTGGGAATAGCTGTAAGTAACTACACTTACTTGCCTAGCCTAGATCTTTAACATTTATTATATTATATATTTTTCTGTATTTATTTTTATATTTTTTAACAGTCAAATATATTTTTAAAATAATGATCGTTATCGTAGTGACAAAACAAAAATTAATGTTCAAAACTGTTCGTTTTAGATAAAACTGTACAGGGTGTTCCGTTAATAACGTGAAACAATATCGGTCTTTTTAATCCTGTCAGACTGTCATTTTTAAAACGGACCAGAAAATGTATTGAAGCGAATGGAGGTCATTGCGAATATTTGTTAAGATAAGATATGATTGAAAATCTGTTATACTTTGTTAGTTAATATCTGTTTCCTATTATTATTATGATTATTATGTGCATTACGGTCATTTGTAATACCATATCTTGTAAAACCAGCTTTAGTAAACAAAATATTATTAGTAAATTCATTGCCCTCATGTTCTTTTTCCACAATGTTATTACAGAGCCGAAAAAAAATTATTGTAGTGAAAAAATGAAGCTTATACTTGATTTAAACAATTTTCGTTACAATTCGTAACACCATAATTACTACCTAATGACATTTATTTAAAACGTGGCAACTTGATTAATTACAGAATGAATTATCAAAAATTTGATGTCTAATAAAACTTTAATAGCGATTTCCAGCTAAACGGTTATATTTGTCGGCTTGATAAACATAATTTTTTCTGATGGTTTCTCTTTTCAACAATGTTTAAATTTCTGTGATGTTTAGCTAAGGAAAAAAGTTAACAAAACAAATTTTGAGTTTTAGGTAAAGTGCCCTCTAGCGGTGCATAATGAAAGTTTTCTCTGACCGCCCAATGGTGCTTGATCTACTTAGTGGGTGTATTAAATGAGAGACTAATATAATTTGAATTAAATAAGTTATTTAAAAAGAAAAATGAAAAAAATACTTTGATAGGCTGTAACTTGCAAACAACTGACAATTCGAAAAAAAATTTCATTACACTTATTAAAAACTTTAGTTTAATATATTTTTTTAAATAGCAAATACTTAATTAGCTCCTATTTTTCTGCTTCTTTTTGTTCACTATTATCCACAACTAAGTTTCGACGTATGGTATAGTTGTGGGTAACAAAAATTTAAACTTTAAAAAAACTACATTTTGTCAAAACCAAGATGTTTTCGAAAGTAAGTATCATATAAAAGTTGTTGCTTCTGGTGACTGAAATGCATGATTAACATTTTGGCATTTATTTCTAGAACACCCTGTAGATAAAGTCATTGGTAAAGAGAAATTGTTTCGTGATAATTGATATAGTTAAATTATTACAAGTAGCTGTGATATAATCGCATGTCATTGGGAATCAGAAATTGATTCGTGATAACTGATAATAATAATTAGTCGTTCAAGGACAACACTAATGGATATTGTTCACATTAAAAAAATGCTAATGCCTCGCTTTTAAGTATGTTGTTGTCTTTGTAGTGTATATTATTATCCGTCAAAAAAAAAGGCAGTTTAATTAATATATTTAATTTTAACCCGATGCCAGTTTGTACAAGTCAGGATGATCTGCCAGAGATAGACACGCCTTTGGGCAGAGTTCGGGGATATTGGAAGACATTAGAAGGCATAACTTATGCTGCTTTTGAGGGAATCCCGTACGCAAAACCACCAGTGGGCGATTTGAGGTTCGAGGTGAGTCAAAATAGTTTGATCTTTAAGGAATACACGTATTGAAACATTTATGGCAATAAAAAGAATCAGTAAATTTTTTAAATTAAATCTTTAAATCAGTCCCCAATTTTATCTGACATGTTGATTTTTTTTAAGTTGAAGAACTAATATGAGGCTAAATCTGAGGAATGTGCAGTTTACTTTATTGGTTCTTTTATACCCGTCCATAGACATTTGAAGCAACAATTGTATCTGACGGAGAAAATTAAATAGAACATCGAAAGATTTTACATCAAAAATAATTTTTGCTATAATTTTAAATATATACAAAAAAATGAGATGTACATGTTAATTTTAAAGAAATTATTATCTGATTTGGAATTGACGAACAAATATTCATAAAAAAATTAATATAAGCTTATTAATATGAGGAAAATCCTCAAAAAAAATTATGACTAGTTTGGATATCTAAGAGACGAGATATTAATAAAATAATTTTTCACGATTTAGTACAGAGCCTTATGAGAATGCAGATTCTTTTGGTCTTTCCACTTAGAATGCGCAGCAATTGACAAACAGTTTTTACAGCAACTTGTATAAATAGGAAACCGATATCTGAGGAACCGTATGAGAGCTCATAGAAATCGATTAGGTACTTGTAAGATACATAATTTATAATAATTCTCCTTCAAACTGCTGTTGTTGATTAACTTAACGTCCATATGCGTGATAGCGGCAACGCCGAGGTTCTCGACGTAGCGTATTATTTGAAATTCGCAGGTGTGATATATGGTGTATATTTCAAGCTTAGGCATCCAAACAAAGCCAGCTAAGTGCAACGTTGCCAAATCTAAATGCTTACTACTTTAGTCACTAGCGAATCTACAGAAACTCTCGTTAGACTTTTAGACGTACCTCAGTACCCGATAAACCTCCTTAAGACATGTCTATTCAATACGCAATATTTTTTACAGAACTTACATAGTACTTTTGGTTTCCGAGATATGAATAGTTAATTTTTAATTTGCGAGATAGTAATAATGCGTGCACACATTTTCCCAAATTCCTACTGGATAACTCACTTTATTTTTATTAATTTGCAGGAACCTGAACCCATAGTGGCTTGGTCAGAAACCTTGGAAGCAAACACTCTTCACACATGCATTCAAGCTGGGCTGCGTGCTCCTGAAACAATATCTGGTCAGTATAAAGCACTACGTACATACATAACTTGCTAGAATCAAGATTCTCTAATATTGCAACTAAGTTGTTTTATTTTTTATCAGGAGAAGAAGATTGCCTCTACATAAACGTGTACATCCCTGAAGGGTCTGTGAAGAACCCCAAGGCACTCGATGTGATAGTGTCAATCCATGGTGGTGCCTTTGTGGCGGGTGCTGGACATAAGGCTTTTAATACATTCCTAGAGAACGACGCTGTGCTCGTATCTTTCAATTACCGTCTTGGTATTCTAGGTAAATGCTTCCTCCAGCCTTTGTCATGATTGAAACAGCCTTAACGTTCCAGGATTTCTAAGCACGGAAGACGACGTCATACCCGGCAACAACGGACTGAAAGACCAAGTCTTGGCACTCAAGTGGGTCAGGGACAATATCGCTTCGTTCGGGGGAAACCCCCACTCCGTCACCATAGTCGGCCTATCAGCGGGCGGAGCCAGCGTCCACCTCCACTATTTCTCCCCCCTCTCAGAAGGATTGTTCGTCAAGGGGATTTCGCAGAGTGGTTCGGCTCTAGCACCGTGGGTGATCAAGAAAAACGCCTTACAACGTGCCAAGAAGCTCGCAGTTTTAGTCAGCTGCCCTGACAGTCCCTCAGAAGAACTGAGGAGCTGTCTCAAACAGAAACCAGCGCAAGCGTTGCTGAAACAATTGGTAAATTTCCAAGGTTCCGACAACTTGGCGCCAATAATACCTTTTGCCCCAGTTGTGGAAAATAAATCAGCAAACGCTTTCTTAGACGCAGATCCTTACCAGCTCTTGAAGGAAGGTAAAGTTCATGATGTGCCTTGGATAACTTCCTTTACTAATGATGAGGGACTGTTTGTTACGGGATGTAAGTAGGATGATACAATAAAGGTTTATCCTTTGCACTATCTGACGATTTAATCACGCAAAATTGCTGAAGATAAATCAAAATACGTAATTTTCCAGATTTCTGGCAAATCTTGGAAGAGGTAGACGAGAGATGGGTAGAACTATTTCCGGATCTGCTGGTATACAATGACACTCTAGATGCATCACAAATGGAGACAGTACCGAAGGAAGTTTTGGACTACTATTTGGGAGCAGGAGAAAATATCAATAAGAAGAACTTCAAAAAATTTACGAAGGTACACTTTTCCTAACAGAAAACCAAAATTCGTCTTCTTTAAATTCGGCGAAATTATTTCCTTTCAGATATTAACCGACAGGTTGTTTGCTGTCCCTGCAGAACTGTCAGCTAAACTGCACGCCAATGTAACCAAATCTCCTGTATATTTTTACAAATTCAACTACACTGAGGGTGAAAATAAATTCACCGACTTCTTACCAGATGCTCAAGGGGTAGAAGGTAAAAAGTGACTGTTAATATAAGCAGTTGTTTAATGGAGATGTGGATTCAATTCAAGGTTAAAGCATCAGGAGCTGGAACCAGGTGTCCAGCTGTCAAGGAAGGTCAGAGGAAGAAATTCTTGAAGGTGGTCGCCATCGGCAATGACCAGAGGGAGTACAGAAAAGGAGACAGCACCAGGGTGGGGACCGTTGATAATGACCTCCAAGAACTTTTTCCTCTGACCTTACTGGACATCGTCGCTATTGTTACTGGATATCAATGATAACTCTTATGGTGTGACCTCGAAATAAGCGCAAATCGCCACTAAACAACTACTAACGTTTAACCAGATTAAGCGTTAACTAATAAAAATTGCGAACAAAACAAAATCTTCCATCTTATTCTGTCTACAGGTGTGGCCCATGGCGACGACGGAATCTACTTCTATGGGGTGAAGCATATAAATTCGTTATCAGAACAGGATAAACGCATGATTACTGCTTGTCATAACGTGTTGTACTCGTACGCCACCAGCGGGTAAATACCACATAAATCAATAATTCTTAAATGAAATATTTCCTTCATTATTATCATGTTAAATAATTTCACTAAAGTTTCCGAGATTTCGCTATACAGCCTACCAAATGTTCTATTGTATGATAGCGACGTTAAAATCTATATTTCCATCTCTTTGAATACTGTTCTCTGGTCGATTCTTTAATATTTAACTGTGTATTTTCATTAATTTCTTTGCATTACTGTACTTCTTTATTCTAGATATTGTACGTTTAACTATTTTAATTTTACATTTTACTCATACCAATTATTTCCGCTAACGTCCTGTAATTGGAATTGTTCCTGTCGGACTAATAATAAATAAATAAAATTTCCATATTTTAGTATTCCTTCTTTCGATGGGACAGACACTTGGCAAGCAACGGGATCTGAAGAGCTGACTTACTTGCTTGTAAATGGACCAGAAGACATGAAGCTGCACAAGAGTGAAAGCCTGACTCCTGTTGACTTTTGGACCAAACTCGGATTCCCGGAATTTGAAAATGATGTTGTAAAAGACAAACCGTAGTTTCCCTCCAGTATCTTATTTCATAGACAATTTTAAATTATTCTTACGAAATATTCTCTATATTATATTTATAAAGCGTATGCAAGAAAAAAATTAAAAAAAAACAAATCATTAAGTTTTATTCTCTTTTTAACAGTTATCATTATATCTCTAAATGGTCTTTATAAAATGCATGTAAAATGTTTAAAATTACGACTTATAAAATCAATTTATATGTATAGGGTTATTCACAATTTATCAAATAAAAAAAAATAGATGCGTAATGAAAAATTTAGCCAATATCGTAAAAAAAAATTTTTGTAAAATCTTTATAGTTTCCGAGAAAAAATTATTGAAGTTGTTCGCTGTAATCTCCACATGGCCCGAGGCGATTCCGAATACTGAAATCCGATATTAGTATTAACTATTCGCGATAGTGTTTACATTAGTTTTTCAAGTGTTAAAAATGGTTTACGTGTATAGCGACTCGGAATAGATGGATATCATTTTAATTTATAGTGAAGCAAGGCAACATTTGTGTTATGGTGAAATATTTGTGTTATGGTGAAAAAAGACAACAATTGTGTTAGTTCGTAGAAACTGGGTAAGATGGGCCTAAATGTGTTTACACGTAGGTGGAAAAAGTTTTGAGCAGTTGTTGTAATATCAGGTATTTCAAATTGGTTTATTAATTAAAACCGCAAATTAATTTTATTAATTAATAATAACAATAGCGGCAAAAGCAGTTGAATTTGCTGTTATAAAGTTTTATTTACTCCTTTCATTGACAAGGAAATTCTTTCAATTTTCTGTCTGTTCATTTTTTCATATAGCAATTGGTCAGGTTTTACAGAGGACCAGTTTCCAGTGCCCTTTTGTATTTGTAACAGTCCCATCTACAATAAAAATTTTTTTTTTATAAGTTCTGAATCACCCTGTATAAATATATGCATTGGTTTAATCTTTCCTTTTTTAAGCCTGTTAGATAAATTACGTCGAATAATTTTATTTTGTTTAATTAATTACCTGTTTTATATATTTGACTCCAATCGAGCCAGTCCGATCCTGGCGATTATAAACAACAAGATAAGTGATAATATAATTATTATTGTAGTAACGTCCGCTATATTCGCTATCACATCCAAATATATCTGAACATCCATCCGTTGCGAAATGTTGTTTAAACTGGTTTGTTTGTTTTTTATTCTCTACTACGGGAACAACTGTAAGTATACTTATTTGTTATACTAGTAGGTTATGAAAATTAACTCGTAGTGATTTAGACACAGCATCCTTTCTCTCTAAAATTATAAGAGTAACAAGGATAAAGATTGTAATTTGGGCACCCGTAGCGAATTTTCATAAGCGCAAAAGTAATATCATGACTGTTAAATAAAGTAACAAATTAATTTTAATTAATGTCGTGAATAAATCGGTAGCAATAAAAGATACATATTTGTGAGATAAGACTTTTATTCACAATCAGTTTTCGATATTCCGACTCGCATCTCACCTAGGCTTCACTTGTCAATAACAATTTATTTCAGTGAAACATTTTTTATATATCCCATATTACAATATAATTACTCTTATAGAAAAAAAACACTTCTTACAATTTTGTATTATTACAGTTTGGTGAAATATAATCATAAGTCTTCGTTGAACCGAAATTTAAGTTTCTAAGATTTTCTAGTTTAACTTGATGTCAGTTTGTTTAAGCAAGGATAACCTGCCAGAGATAGACACGCCCTTAGGAAGAGTTCGAGGATATTGGAAGACATTAAATGGCATAACATATGCTGCTTTTGAGGGAATCCCATACGCAAAACCACCCATCGGTTCTCTTAGATTCGAAGTGAGTGAAAGTATCATCTCCGTCTTACATTCATTCTCTCATTATTGTAGACTCTGAAACTCTAGTTAATATGTGAATTCTATTTGTAATTTCATTATCTGATTTTGCATTTTCTTCATTTTTTAAAACAATCGTAAATATATTTTAAAACTGTATTATTTTAGAGCACATAAATAAATTATGACAACGACTACAAACTACAACCAAATGATTGTAGTTATTGTCAAGTGTTGAACCATTTTGACTGTCACAAGGTCATCAGGTTGCTATAAGGGTATCGCTGTAACTGTTAAAGTCTAAATGGCAATAAGTGGAGGTCACTTTTCTTGGATGTAGTCATTTTTAATTTGCAGGAAGCTCAGCCCATTCCAGCCTGGTCAGGAACATGGGAGGCAAACGCTCTTCACAAATGTCTTCAGGCTGAACTTATTGCTTTTGACAACATATCTGGTCAGTACAAAGCAGCACCTCTTGATACTCAACAACATTAATCATATATTTTAATAAGTCCAATAACCATTCCAATCCCAAAAAGTTGCCTTTACCATCTTGTTTATTTTTTGCGTTAGGAGAAGAAGATTGTCTCTACATAAACGTGTACATCCCTGAAGGGTCTGTGGAGAACCCCAAGGCACTCGATGTGATAGTGTCAATCCACGGTGGTGCCTTTATGTTAGGTTCTGGAGAATTGACTTTCAATACATTCCTAGAGAACGATGCTGTGCTTGTATCTTTCAATTACCGTCTTGGTATTCTAGGTAAATGCTTCCTTGCAACCTTTGTCATGATTCAAACAGTCTTAACGTTCCAGGATTCCTCAGCACTGAAGACGACGTCATACCCGGCAACAACGGCATGAAAGACCAAGTCTTAGCACTCAAATGGGTCAGGGACAACATTGCTTCGTTCGGGGGAAACCCCCAATCCGTCACCATAGTCGGTTTGTCAGCAGGTGGAGCCAGCGTCCACCTCCAATATTTCTCTCCGCTTTCTAAAGGATTATTCGTCAGGGGGCTGGCGCATAGTGGCACAGCCCTAGCACCATGGGCTATAAGGAGAAACGCGTTGCAACGTGCTAAGAAGCTTGCCTCATTGGTGGGTTGTCCTGATAGTCCAACAGAAGAACTGAAGAAGTGTCTTAAGCAGAGACCAGCGAACACTTTGATGAAGCAATTGGTACATTTCTATGACTACCAGTTTATGCCTTTCTCGCCTTTTGCGCCAGTGGTAGAAAAGGGATCATCGAATCCTTTCCTTGACGCAGAACCTTATCAACTTTTGAGGCAAGGTAAAGTTCACGACGTGCCTTGGATTAATACGTACACTGCTAATGAAGGACTGCTCCCTACAGCACGTAAGTGAAATTTATTTCCTCTTCAATATCCTCTAATGATTTAGCTATTGCCCAATGTAACCTTAAATACATAATTTTCCAGTTTTGTGGCACACTTTGGAGGAAATTGACGAAAAGTGGGGAGATATGTTCCCTTACCTGCTAGACTGCAATGAGACTCTACCTGTATCTAAGAAAGAGATTGTAGGGAAGAAAATTCTGGAGTACTATTTGGGATCAGGGGAGAAAATCAACAAGGAGAACTTCCAAAAACTCACTCAGGTACACTTTTTCAATTAGAAAATTTAAAATTATTCCCTGTTCTAAATTCACCAAAATTATTTCTTTTTAGCTATTTACTGACAGGTTATTCGCTATTCCTGCCGAGATATCAGCTAAACTGCAAGCCAAGGCAACGAAATCTCCAGTTTACGTCTACCTGTTCAATTATCGTAAAGGTGAAAACAAATTCGCACAGTACTTTGCAAGAACTCCAGAAGTGGATGGTAAGAACTGTAACTAGATCAAGCAGTATAAAACATCCACCATCCAAATTTTTCTTCACAGGTGTAGCTCATGGCGATGACGGCATCTATTTCTACGGGATGTTACCTATGAATCCATATTCGGAAAAAGATAAGCGCTTGATTTCCGCTTGTCATAACGTGTTGTACTCGTACATCAGCAGCGGGTAAAGGAAAAACTAATCCATAAATAACTTATTTTCCTCATTAACGTTTACTTTCTAGTATTCCTTCTTTCGATGGGACAGACACCTGGCAACCAACGGGATCTGAAGAGCTGACTTACTTGATTGTAAATGGACCTGACGACATAGAACTGAAGAAGACTGAAGAGCTGGCTCCAGTCGACTTTTGGAGCAAGCTTGGACTTTTGGAATATGAAAACATTAACGTGAAGGATGAACTGTAGTTTCCTTTCAGTATTATGTTTATTTTGCAACGAATTATAAACAATACTCTTTATAAAAGAAAAGGGTTTCATTTCGATCATCTTCCTTACATTAATGTTAATGATTTTTCCTTATTTCTCGGGAAAATCTCCTCGCGGATTTTTTCTGCGGGGCAAAATGTTTAAGGCCGATCCTGCTCACACACAAACCTAATTTGAATACAACGCTGTGATTTAGTTAAACAAGACAGGCGCACACTAAACGTTGATTTGGCCATGAACATCTCTTTTAAGGAATGGAATTTGGTTAAAATAGTACGCTTACATTTAAATTTGATATTAGTTTCACTTAAATGTGTATTAAACTAAACAAATGCTAGTTCTTATTAACCTTGGAAGCGTTTCAAATAATAGTAATTTGGTGGCTCCTTGATTACACAAGTCACCGACTCCCATTTTGATCCTACTTGCATAGTAGGATTAAGTATTATTTCTCAATGATTTTTTTCATTAGTTCAAGAGAATGTAAACCTCAAGGTCAAAAATAACCATTAACTGACATAATTGTGACACGTTCTTATTAGTTTATCAATACGTACCAATCGCCTTGTGTTAAGTGTAATTGCGCTTGAATACAAAGTATGCCATTATTAAATTATGTACTTTTGACGGTATTCTGTTGCTGTGGTAAGTATTTGTGTTAGTTACTTACTATTTCTTTTTATTGTTGCTAAATAAATGTTTCCAATTACATGAGATGAAATTTACATGTTGGTTAAATATACTATTATACTGGTCTTCTTAATATTATTGTTTATTTGTTGGTAATTAAACAATAACAAAAACTAGCTCTTAAGTAGTTTGTTCAAGCCAAAATGGTTCACCAGAAGTAGACACACCTTTGGGAAGGGTACGAGGTTCTTGGAAAACTTCCCTAGATGGAAGAAAATACGCCGCCTTCGAGGGATTACCCTACGCAAAACCCCCTGTGAGAGAGCTCAGATTTGAGGTAAATTTTCACTTGTTATATGGATAGATTTGAGAATACAGTATTATGGAACTTAACTTAAGGAAAACGCCATCAATACTTAGTATGTAAGCTACTTACCTGAAACGCTTCAGTAATGGCCCTAGAATAGAGCCTTGAGGAACGTTTTTTTTCAATATCAGATCAAGCGGTAAAGCAAATGTTAAAAAAATGCCTCAACCTTGAAATCACCCTGTTATTCTATCCCTATAGGAACCTCAACCGGTTCAACCTTGGTCAGGTGTTTGGATAGCCAATAGCACCTTTACATGTCTTCAACTTGGCATGTTTTCTCCTGATATACAAGGTCAGTCAGAAACAGATGTAACACACCTAAAGGTAATCTCGTTCATTTAATTCCAGGACAAGAAGACTGTCTTTACCTAAACCTCTATCTCCCAGCGGAACAACAAGAACCTGGAAGTTGTAGTAGTCATCCATGGTGGTGGGTTCATGGTGGGCGATGCACACACCATGACGCGTTCAGACTTTTTGAAGGAGCNGAACAACAAGAACCTGGAAGTTGTAGTAGTCATCCATGGTGGTGGGTTCATGGTGGGCGATGCACACACCATGACGCGTTCAGACTTTTTCATGGACGAAGACATTGTTCTTGTCACCATTAACTACAGAGTCGGACTGTTGGGTAAGCAATGGCACCAAACAATATTTACTTACTTTTGCTTCAACCACCGTGAACCACAGGTTTCCTCAGCACTGAAGACGACGCCATACCCGGCAACAACGGCCTGAAGGACCAAGCCGTAGCCTTGAAGTGGGTCAAGGACAACATCGCTTCTTTTGGGGGAAACCCCCACTCCGTCACTATAGCCGGCTTATCAGCGGGTGGGGCTAGCGTCCACTTCCACTATTTCTCCCCTCTATCTAAAGGTTTATTCCACAGAGGAATATCTCAAAGTGGGACTGTCCTCGCGCCTTGGGTTATCAAAGAACACCCTTTAGAAAACGCTAAGAGGCTTGCGGTACTCGTTGGTTGTCCTGATAGGTCCACGGGGGTTCTAAAGAGGTGTCTCAAAGAAAAGCCAGGTTTAAGTTTGGTTAAGCAAACGGTACACTTCTACGGTTATGATAAGATGCCTTTCGCGCCCTTTGCTCCTGTAGTAGAGAAAGGCTCGAATAAGCCTTTCTTGGGTAAAGAACCCTTTTGGTTGTTGAGAGAAGGTAAGGTACTAGATGTCCCTTGGATCACCTCCCACGCTGCTGACGACGGGTTACTAACGACTGCAAGTAAGTGAATAATAATATTTAGTTGTCATCAAGCATTATGCGTGATTTTTAGTTTATTGGGAGAGACTGGAAGAAATTGATGCAAACTGGCCCATACTATCACCTTACCTGTTGGATTGCAACTATACTTTACCAGAATCAAAAAGGATAATGGTGTCGTTGCAAATTTTGGACTACTATTTAGAACCTGGCGCAATAATCAGCAAGGAGCATTTCAAAAAGTTCACTCAAGTAAGTAAGTTTAATGTAAAATTGATTTAATAATTTTACTAGATGCTAAACCATATAATTTCCTCACCTTAGCATTGTAGATGCACCAAACTGAAAATTAGTAGTCGTTAGAGTGTATTCCACTAACGTTTTATTCTTTAGATATTCACAGATAGATACTTTGGAGTTCCTGGAGAAACAGCAGCCAAAATGCAAGCGAAAGTAACAAAATCAGCAGTATATTACTACTTTTTCAATTATAAGGAAGGAGAAAACAAAGGGGTGAAGTTATTCTCAAGTTCCCCAGAAATAGAAGGTAAAAATCTTCAGTTAAAAACATTGTAAGTCATTCGCTTTTTTTAGGAGTAGCTCATGGCGAGGATAGTATCTACTTCCACGGATTCCTAACAGGAAAACCGTTTTCAGAACAGGATAAGCGTTTGAAAAACGCTTTTCACAGGATGTTATATACATTTGCCGCCACGGGGTAGAAAAATTGCACTACTTCAAGTGTATAACATCTAATCGTACCAATTTTAGAAAACCTTCTTTTGATGGGACAGACATTTGGCAGCCTACTGGATATTCAGAGCTAACATACCTAAATGTGACTGGACCAGACAACATGAAGCTTCAGAAGACTCAGAATTTGACTCCAAGTGAGTTTTGGAGCGGACTGGGTGTTTTGGAGAATGAGAACGTGGTACTAACAAAAGAAGAATTGTAGATGTGTTTTATCTACATATTTTAATTTATATAATAAATTTATATTGAGGATATGCTAATGTTTTATTAAAACCTTGACAAATGTTACATAAAACGTTAGCTTTGTTAAAGTTTCGAGGCTGTTTTAATAATATAATTAAGCAGAAGTTGAATAACCTTTATAGATAGTTGTTTCATAAGACAGCGACTATATTTGTGAAGGTCGACTGTAACCGGATTTAACCCAAATTTTTATTATTCAAATAATGCTACATTCATTTAAATGATAGTGTTTTGAGTGGACGGTGTGAGATCTTGTTGCAAACTATGAGTTATGGATTCTTACGGCTTCAAGCAGCGACCGACCCTGGCGTAGTTTATCGTTGTTTGGGTTAAGCTGGAATCCGCTGACTCAATTCGAGGACCATCATGTGGGGCTATTCGATTCAGATACATTCGTAGTTTTGCTCGCAAAGGAGCGTTACCTTTTGTACCCGGTGTATTCAACTAATTGTAAAATAAAATCATTGTAAAATTTGAGTTTGTGATTTGTTTACAACATCAGAAGTGGGATATTTGCAGTGGTGTTTTGTGTAAATTCAAAATGCCAAAAAGCAGGGAACTACGCCATAGACGGAGACATGAGAAATTTTCAAGGGAACGGAAGCGAGTCAGGACAGAGGCTAGGTCTGTTGACGCCGCCGATTCCCGTGACCAAAGATTATCACAACAGACACCAGGATCTCCCCAGGCTGGAACTTTACATGTAATCCACGAACACTCCTCAACACCCCCAGTGGCTCGAGTGAACCTGGGTTCTGACGGAACGCGTTTGGGTAGTGAGTCTGATGTTTCTATATTAAGTCAAACATTTTTAGATGGCATTAATAAATAGTCAAATGATTCTAGATTGTTAGGTCTTACCGTACATTCTAATAGTATCAGTGAATTCGATCCAATTAATGATAATGTTGAGGAATGGCTTAAAACTGTTAATAAGAATACGGGCATGTATTATTGGCCCGATACTGTAATTTGTAATTGGCTTTAGGCAAGCTGAGAGGTCCGGCGGAAACTTGGTATAGGAGTTTGCCGACCCGTCTTTTTATTTGGCAAGAATGGCAAAAATTATTGACAGAACATTTTGAACCAAAGCGGGATTTGCATAATTTAATGTATTCAATGTTTGCTCGTATATCTCAACCCGGNGTGTTTGTTTTCTTTAGGTAGTTAGATACCTAACTACTTACTTATTAATTAAAATTGATAGTCCTGAACATAGGTACTTTAATTTAATTCGTTTTGTTTTCACATTGTTGGTAGTTACCTATATTGTTTTAAATTTAAAGGTTTTGCATTTTTAGTTTTGAGTTCGTTTGTTGTCTTTAGGTATATAGATATATCGTGAATTATTTTAAAATTAATATTAGGGTCGCATTAGATGAAAGATGATTGATTTTTTGTTTGTTACGATTTAACTCAAAAACTACTCAACCAATTTTACCGAAAGCTACATCTCCTCGGAGTAACATAGGCTATTTTATATTTGTCCGTGCGAAGCCGGGGCGGGTTGCTAGTTTATAAATAAATTTTCTCTTTAAGTTAAAATAGAAAATAAAAGCAATTAAATTCATCCTATGTCAAGAAGTTTGTTCAAGTAACGATGCATTACCGGAAATAGACACGCCCTTAGGAAGGGTACGAGGTTTATGGAAGGAGTCACTGGATGGGAGAAAATTCGCTGCCTTTGAGGGAGTCCCATATGCGAAGCCTCCAGTGGGAGATCTCAGATTCGAGGTACTCTAAGATCAGTATTTAACACCACACAACAATATTTAGATATCAATTTCAGTTATTCCAATATCAAACTTTGAATAACTGTTACCATCTTCACTAGCAATGAATCATCCAAATTCAAACGAGTTTTTAGGAACCCCATGCTGCCACACCATGGACAGGAACTTGGCTGGCTGACAACCCTCAAACGTGCACCCAAATTTGGATATTTACTGGCGATGTAATAGGTCGGTATGAACTTTTACCTAGCAGTACCAAACACTTTCGTTCATTCCTCTGAATTCAGGTGAAGAAGACTGTCTCTACCTGAACGTCTACGTACCAGCTGATTACGTGAACAACCCAAAAAAATTGGAAGTGGTCGTCTCAATCCATGGCGGTGCGTTCTTATTGGGCCAAGCACACTCAGCTCTCCCAGAGTTTTTCATGGATAAGGACTTTGTCCTTGTCACCATTAACTATCGACTTGGGATATTCGGTAGCTAGCAATCACATCAAATATATTCATTTCGTAACATTTTAAATATTTTAGGGTTCCTCAGCACAGAAGATGGCGTCATACCCGGAAACAATGGCATGAGAGATCAAGTACAGGCCTTCAAATGGATCAAGGATAACATCGCCTCCTTTGGGGGCAATCCAAACTCTGTTACGATACAGGGCATGTCAGCTGGAGGAACCAGCGTACACTTTCACTATTTCTCGCCCCTTTCCAAAGGTTTATTCCACAGGGGATTCTCTCAGAGTGGAACGGTTCTGGCCCCTTGGACGATCACGAAGAATCCTTTAGAGAACGCTAAGAAACTTGCCGTATTGGTTGGTTGTCCTGACGGACCCTCCAAAGATCTAAAGAAATGCCTTAAACAGAGACCGGCGCAGAGTTTAGTGAAGCAAATGCATCACTTTTTTGGTTACCGTACGATGCCAATTTCCCCCTTTGCCCCTGTAGTGGAGAAAGGCTCAAAGGAACCTTTCTTGGACAAAGAACCCTTTTGGTTACTCCAACAAGGAAAGGTACTAGATGTTCCTTGGGTTACCTCTCACACAGCTGATGATGGGTTAATGGTATCACCATGTAAGTATATATCAGAAGTGGGATATGAAGTTTTTTGAGTGCCATTAGTGTTGTGTTTTAAATATATGATTTTTTAGTCTACTGGGATGAATTGGACCATATAGATCAAAACTGGGATCAGTTGTCCCCCTATTTTTTGGATTACAACAACACGCTACCGGAATCAAGAAGGGTAGGAGTGTCCAGGGAAATTTTGGTACATTATTTTGGACCTGGGGGAAAAATCAACAAGGAGACCTTCTCAAAGTTTACTCAGGTAGGAACATGAAGTGCTAAGATTCAATTTGATGTACTAACCAATATCCAGATATGATACATATTATGGTTGTTTTTTTAGATGCTCACGGATAGGTATTTTGCTATTCCTGGAGAAATGGCGGCTAAAATGCAAGCAAACGTCTCAAAATCTTCGGTGTACTATTATATTTTCAGTTATAAGGAAGGTGTAAACAAAGCTGTGGAATTTTTCACCAACTCTACAGAGATTAAAGGTATGAATAATTTCGTCCTAAATTAGCGTAATGTAAATACTATATTTTTTTCCACAGGTGTGGGCCATGGTGACGATTGTATTTATTTACAAGGGTTATTTTACAAAAAACCATTTTCTGAGCAAGATAAACGACTGAAAAATGCATTTCAAAACATGTTATACGAATTTGCATCTACAGGGTAAGAATAACATTGATATAAAACGTCACTAGAAACGCATAGTGATGCAATATTAACTTCTAATTTATGAATTTTAGGATACCCTCTTTTGATGGAACCAATAAGTGGCAGCCAACAGGACCTGAAGAATTGACCTTCTTAAACGTGACTGGTCCGGAGAAAATGAAGTTGCAAAAGACCAAAAGCTTGATTCGTAGTGACTTCTGGAGCAAACTGGGTCTTTTAGAGAACCAAAATGCAATCAACGTGAATTTATAGAGAAATTCTTTATTATGTATTTTGAATTTATACAATCAATGTAGTTTTAATAAAGATACCAATGATAATTGTACGAGACCAAGTAAACATGCCAACTCATTTCACTACATATTTATGTTATTAGAATAACCAAAAGATGACAACGAGCCAATATTTGTAATCAGGAAATCATACATTTAAGTTGCATTTACATTATAACGATATTTCGAGTTCCCAGAAACAATCTATGTATTTGTGAAATTCGAATATACATTATTTACATTAAAAATATAAAGGATAACCTTTAACCCCCTACAGAGTTTGTGATTATTAAACGAATAGATTCTTCAACTATCTTCATTTCAAAACTATGTCTTCAATGAACAATATTGCAATATTCACTCTAACAGTTTATTCTGTTGTGTTAACCAGAGGTGATCCTCTAGTGGAGCTGCCTCTAGGAAAAATCGTGGGCAGCATTAAAGAAAGTGTTAGTGGTAGGAAATTCTATTCATTTGAGGGTGTCCCGTACGCAAAACCACCCGTGGGCGCCAATAGATTTGAGGTAAGATCTTTTTGGTTTATAAGAAAAGAGAAATATAGCCTAAACATCAAAAACAAGCATTAAAAAATGTACTTACTACTGATTGTACTGTTTTGTTATTATTATTACGCCTTAGTAAGGTTAGAACACGTAAAGATCTCAGGAAGGGTCCTAAATAGGTGCCTTGAGGTACTCTAAAGCTACAGCTAAGATTTCTTACACTTATTATAGGCACCTTTACCAATAGACCCCTGGAATGGCACCTGGACAGCTAATGTAATCCACAAGTGCTTGCAATATAGACATTTATCTCAATCAAAGGAGGATCCTGTCACAGGTAGTCATTGTTTTTATTTGTTCGACAATTAACAACAAAATAAAGCTATTATTGTTAGCTGATTACCTTTTGATGAAATCGAAAATATAACACATTGATAAAAACCACAAAAAAGTATTTTTTGCCCTTGCTTACCAACTGTAAATGTGGCAACTCCCAAACTTATCTGTAAACTCACGCCAAATTAAAAACTCGTCACCATTCATTGATTTACAACAACTAACAAGGTCATTCCTATCTACTGAACTGATAAATTTGTGACTTGTGTAATTCACAACGCAAAAAAACTATTTTTCAGGGTTAGAAGATTGTTTATACCTAAATATCTATACGCCATCTCTAGACGTCCGTGAAAACCTAGATGTAATAGTTTTCATACATGGAGGAGCCTTTATGTTCAACTATGGCGCGTTTCAAGGTCCACAAATACTGTTAGACAAAGATATAGTTTACGTAAACCTCAATTACCGACTGGGACCCCTGGGTAAGTAACAGTAGACAAAATTGAATTTAGCGCACCTCAGGGACCAACACTGGGGCCACAGAGAGTTGAGTATTGATTAAGTTATTTTTAAGGTTTCCTAAGCACCGAAGATGATGTGGTTCCCGGAAATAACGGTATAAAAGACCAAATCGTTGCTCTACAATTTATCCAGAAGTATATACGGTATTTTGGAGGGAACCCGAATTCAGTCACGATAACTGGAAATTCGGCGGGAGGGGGGAGCGTCCATTTTCACTACATGATAAGCAAAAGCAAAGGTAAGTGCAGGAAGCTCCCGTTCCGAGCTTCATACAGTGGTAAACCAGATACGAGAGGCTGTGTTCTCAAATTTAATTATTCCAGGATTATTCCACAAGGGTTTCTCACAAAGTGGAACGACCTTGAACCCGTGGGTCATTGCTGAAAACCCCTTAGAGAAAACAAAGCAAATAGCAAGCTTATTAGGATGCTCCTCTCAGTCTACGAAGGAAATGGTCGACTGTTTGAAAGAACGCCCAGGGAAGCAAATCGTGGAAACCATAACCACATTCCAGGTAGGTACTGAACCGTCTAGACAATTTTTCAAATATTTTCATGACTTTCCATACCGTAGCCTTGGCTTTTCAACCCCTTTTCCCCATTCGCTGTGGTGGTAGACAAATGGGCTGAAGATCCACTGATACCGGATCATCCCTACCAGTTGCTGAAGAAGAAACTAGTCCATAGTGTGCCATGGATAGCGTCCCACGTAAATTCTGAAGGATTATACCCAGCAGCAGGTAAAATCCTTCTTTAGAAGTTCAAAAACGTTTATTCCACCCAATTTGTAGAATTTTTTTCCGATGAAAAGTACTTGGACGACATCGATAAGAGGTGGGACGATATCCTGCCTCACATATTACACTACAACGAAACAGTAAACAGTGAAGACATCCATGCTGTTAATACTAAAATCAGAGACTACTATCTTGGTGATGCTAACGTCAACAAACACACATTTGGGGACTTGGTACAAGTAAGTACAAGTGACTGAACTGATTGAAACAATGAAAGATGTATTTCTTGTTCCAGATAATAGGAGACAGACTGTTCGTGACAGATATACACAAAGCTGTAAAGCTTCACGCTGAAGCTAGTGCAGCGCCTACTTATCTATACTATTTTACATACAGAGGAGAACACAGCAGGTCTGAAGGCAGGTCGAAAAGTAGGAAGAATTTCGGTAAGCTTGTACTTTTGTCTAAATCAACGTAAAAGTTTTGTAATACATATTGTAGGCGCTGCTCACGGCGACGACGCCAGTTACATCCTCAGCATGGCTCTGGACACTCGTTCGAACGAAAGAGATAAGGCTATGTCGGATATGATGGTAGAAATGTGGCTGTCAGTAGCCAGAACTGGGTAAGAGTTAAAAGTTTCCAATGTTTCGTTATAAACAGAACCGTTGTCTTCCAGAAAGCCTAATGTGACTCAATTGGAATGGACGCCAGTTCCTAAAGACTCCAAAAGGATCAAATACTTGAGGATTTCTTCTCCAGATAACCTTCTCATTGAGGAAAATGAGAATTTAGGGAACAAAGAGTTTTGGGAATCGTTGCCCATTAGGGAAAACGAAAAGCTGTTCGAAAGAACAAGAGATAAGAACGAACTGTAAACCGTCGATTTTTTTTTTATTGTAAACAGTATTTTTGTTACGTGTTATTTATTGTTATTTAATAAAAATCGGGCCTATGAAAACAAAAGACGAACATTTTTCTCCCTCTAAAATCAGCATGTGTGGACTAGATCAACGTCCGAGTTAAAGGAGACTGAGATAAAATAAAGTAATATATACTTAAATTCAAGTTCAAAAGTTAAAGGCGTTGTTTTTGATGCTCCAACTTTATCATTCGTAACGTTATTAAACGGAGGTCAGCAGATATATTGACTTGTTCTTGCATAAGATTGATACGTAAAATGAAAAATATTATTAAATCTATACAGACATCAGTTGAAGTAGGAGGCTTTCCTGGTCGAGGATCATCTTCAATTGACTGACGACCACAAGTAAATCGCATGATTGTTCCAGAAAATTGCACAAGTTGCACTCAAATAACAATATCATGAAAAGTAAATGAGATATCATCCACAAAATATATAATACAATCAACAATCTAAGATCATGTGGATACAGAAGAGGTATGCTCAACCCAATTGCTGCCAACAGCATATCACTAAATATCTCCATTAGCGGGTAATTTAAAAAGTTGTAAAAGTATTTGATGTAAATACGTCTCTAAACCTTTATCTGTCCCTTAAGGGCCCCATATTCTTTAAATAGTGTTTTCCGCAAAGACAAATAATTTCAAACATTTAATAACTGAATAATCTAAAGCTTATCAAATAATAGGAATGTTATGTCATGCCATCTGGGTATTTTCAAAGACGCCGCAGTAAAACGAATAAACAGGTGCAAAAAACGATCAAACCATCAAGGTTTTAGGTACTGAAATCTNCATAAACATGACACTACCCCCGGGGTTTACACAGACGAGCCGGCGAAGCAAGAAGAGCGCCAGAAGAAAGGGCCCTAGCCGGCGGGGCCCAGCCAGGACAAAAGGAGGTCCCACAAAGCGCCTACACCGGCCGCATTTGCGGTCGGGGTAGACGACGGATGGGGCCCACCTACGAAGGCTGTCCAGGCCTACACGAGATGAGGCAGGATAAAGAGGGATAATCCCCCTCGATCCCAAATCATTGAGGCCAATTTCTAGCCATAGAATAATGGCGGTTACAGAAGAGATATGCTCAACCCAATGCTGCCAACAGCATATCACTAAACATCTCCATTAGCGGGTAATTTAAAAAGTTGTAAAAGTATTTGATGTAATTACGTCTCTAAACCTTTAGCTGTCCTTTAAGCATTCTGTTAGGTGTTTTTAATAAAAATATTAACTCTTTAAATAAGTACATATATCACTGTTGTCTTTGTATACACCTTAGTATTTGTTTAATGAAAAAAAAATGTGTTCCCCTGGATTGTATTTAATTGTAAGTAAAACACCTTTCAACAAACATTAGCAGCGCTGTATAAAAATATTATTTATTTGCATATTCGAGTTCGACGGCAGATATTACCACGTGCTGAATGCTAAACAGAGTCGGGATTGCGTAAATGCAATCTACCATACCATTTAAAAGAAACACGATAATATGCCGCATCTGTTGTATCTTATACCGTTTTTATCTGTTGTTATATATATAAATAAATTACTAAAATCACGCTCTTATCTAAAGCGGCGTATATATACCCGTTTATCATCCTATTCAAGTTGGTGCGGTCCAACCAACCATGTATACGGCTGTTCTGTTCATTGTAACTATCAACGCTGGTAAGTAAAATAATGATTATAAGCACAGAAAATTCGATATAACTCACTCCTGACAGGAATACGATTTAAACAATGTAAACAGTGTTTTAATTCACGAAAACGTCGGTCTTTAACCTTGGTACACCGCAAGGATCAGTACCGGGGCCGCTCTAATTCGGCGATTACTTAAATGTTTCCCAAAAAAACGTCGTTTGAACAGACATACGCAATTTGTGGTGTTTTTTTGCAGTTGTATTTGGTGAAGTTACCTCATCAAGGGTGACTATATCTTTGGGGGAGGTAGAAGGGTTTACAGCTAATACAGTCAACGGACGAACATTCTCCGCTTTTGAAGGAATACCATACGCCAGACCTCCAGTGGGTAAACACAGATTTAAGGTAATGTTCAAAGTGGGATAAATTCAAGGAGTTTTGATTACAATGATCGTTTTAGGAATCTGTACCACCAAAACCGTGGGTAGGAGTATGGCAGGCCAAGACTATGTTCAAGTGCATGCAGTACGACCATTTCACACCATCTGGTCAAGACATGGTGTCGGGTAAATTAATTTTTTCATAGAAATAATGTCAACATTGTAAATCATTTTTTAATCTGGTGGCCTATTTACGTTGAAAAGATTTTAACGTCGCACAAACACAGCTGCACTGAGCCACTGTGCAATAAATCTCAGTTGTTGACAAATTGCCTAGCAGTGCAGTGCAGCAATACGGAATTTGGTGTGATTTATTTTCAATACCCACCAGAGTATCGATGAATATTTCTCATTTTGTAGCTTGACTGACTTTGCAGGAGACGAGGACTGTCTATACGTAAACGTATACACACCAAACCTGAACCCTAGAAAAAAGCTCGACGTCCTGGTATTCATACATGGCGGCGCGTTCATGTTCAACTACGGGGGCATGTACGGACCCCACATTGTTTTAGACAGGGATGTCATCTACGTTAACTTCAACTATCGATTGGGTCCGCTAGGTAAGCAGGTTTATGCAATTTATCAACATTTACCGAAAATTCCATGAGGCTTAAATCGGGTGAATGAAATGGCCACTCTATTTTAATTTGATTTGTGTTGCAGGATTTTTAAGTACAGAGGACGAAGTGGTACCGGGCAATAACGGACTGAAGGACCAAATTTTGGCGCTGAAATGGATCAAGGACAACGTGGAGTACTTTGGGGGTAACCCGGATTCGATTACCATATTCGGGATGTCGGCAGGGGGCGCTAGCGTCGAACTGCACCATTTACTCCCGCAATCACAAGGTAGGCGTCGGTATAAAGTCGAATTAGAAGTGTGGTGGAGGGGACGGTATTCTATTACCTCTGAAACTACTTTTTTCAGGTTTATTTCACAAGGGATTCTCTCAGAGCGGTACAGTCCTCAACCCTTGGGTTTTGGTGGAACGCCCGTTGCAAAAAGCAAAGAAGTTGTGCTCTATAATCGGTTGTCCCACAGCTGATTCCAAATATATGGTGGAATGCCTTCGGCACAAGCCAGCGAGGCAGATCACCCACACCGTTAAACATTTTCAGGTGAGTTTTAAAGCAACATTGTAGAGAAAATCATATAATACCACTTCCAATTGTAGCCATGGCTATACAACCCCTTTTCTCCGTTCGGTGTGGTCGTGGATACCTGGGCTCTAAAGCCGGTACTTCCCCAGCATCCCTACAAGCTGTTAAAAGCCAAGAAAGTCCATGACTTGCCTTGGATCGCGTCGTACACGTCTGCCGAAGGCTTATACCCAGCTTCAGGTACAAAGACGCTTTGGTAGAGTGTCGAACGAAAAAAATCGTTGTGATTATTACAGACTTCCACCACGACCACCACTTGGAGTACCTGGACCGCAACTGGAACGAAATAATGCCTTACATTTTGCACTACGACGGTGCCGTAGATCCCGAGTTGCTGGACAGCGTCAGCGAGAAGATTCGGGAGTATTTCTTCCATGGAAAACCGGTTAATAAGGACACTTACCCCGCTTTGGTCCAAGTAAGACTAAAAATATTAATATAATCGTGGGTGGTTCGAAATGAATCTTATTTTAGCTGATGAGCGAACGCCTCTTTGTCTACGACATCGAAAAGGCGGGTAGACTGCACTCCGCTGCCGTACAATCTCCAGTGTACAGCTATTTCTTCAACTACAGAGGAACCCACAGCAAATCGGAGTTCAGAGCTGACACGGACAAAAATCTAGGTAAAAACTTGTACCATCCACGAATTTTCTTAGTTGTTTAATTTCCAAATAGGTGTCTCTCACGGAGACGACACCAGTTACGTGTTAAAGACCAATATGGACACGTCATCAACGGAAGATGACCGCCAAATGAGCGAAATCATGCTGGACTTGGTGATTTCATTCATGAAAACAGGGTAAGTGTTCGTCGATCGATTTTTGTTTCCGCTTATAAATGTATTGGGGCGTGGGGCCAAATTATGACCTCTGAGGTACACCACAAGAATTTTTCGTTAAAAATATGTTGTTTCTAGGAAACCAAACATCACTTCCGCTTGGACGCCTTTGTCGAAAGACCCGTCGGATCCTTGGAAGCAGCTGCACATCGCGGGCCCCCAGAACATGTTCGTGGAGGAAAAGGACGAGTTGGGTAACAGACATTTCTGGGAGACCCTGCCGTTCAAGGAGAACGAAAACCTCTTCCCCGCGAGGGACGAGTTGTAAAGGAAACAAATCTTCCTCACGTTTTATTAAAAATATCTTTTAAACAACTTAACAGCATAATAACATTTGTGTGTCTCTACTTATAGTTTACTTATTTTAATAAATACTAGTTAAAGCAAGGTATTCGTTAGAAGCGTTAGACCGTGACGCCTACCTCTCCGAGAATGTCGGACAGCCTCTCTAAGTGAACGGACACCAGTCCCAACTCTTTGCCGGACTTACTCCTATTGAGGAGTTGGAAGGCGTTCATGTATTCGAGCTCCGAAAATTCGGGGCCCTTGTCTACGATCCCATTCAGTATTTCCTACAACAGACACTTGATGATTGCAACTTTCTTGTGAGCAACAGTTCGTGATCAATGAAATGAACGACAGGTGGATATAACAGATTTGCTTATCGCGTGATACTTTTTAAGACCCTTCAAAATACAAAAAGTGGAAATAAGAATTAGTCCAATCGATTTACAAAAAATACCACCTGGAAACAAAAATTCTAAGAAAAATAGTGTTTTTTTCTTGTGGCGCATAAACAGCAAAGTTAACCTAAAAAATTCATACAAGTCATAAAAAAAAAACGGTTTTGTGCTAAAAAAAAAAAAACTTGAATTCCAATCGAAAAAAGTTAAATAAGAAAGTTGTAGCTATTAAAAAAACCTATCGATTCGTATTTGTAAATATATCGATTGCTATATTACTTTTCGAGATATATCGGAAAAACCGTCAAAAATCGGCATTTTTTTGTTTTTGCTGTATCTCTTGCAAATTAAGGTTTTGAAACTTGTTACTTGCTGTAAATGTAGCCCTTGACAAGCAAAAAAGTGTCTCTTTTTTAAATTAAAAAATATTAAAAATTTTTCGAGTTATATCGATTTTTCGAAAAAAAGGTCATTTCGAAAATCGGCTCTTCTTGTTCGACGAATAGTTGTAGAGACACGAATCAGGGCTCATTTTTTTCCTTAAGGGTTGTACTTTCATGGTAAAAAAGAGTGATAACGATTTTATTCATTTCAAGTGTCCAAAAATGACTGAAAATAGTAAACATTTTTTGGTCGCGTTTTTCTTGAATATCTTTTTCTATTTACATTTCTCGATAACGTCTATTACAGAAATCGATTGCTGGCATTTTTACGCGAATTTAAAAAAAAACGTTCACCTACGACCTTTTGGAGCCGAGATTTTTTTTCAAAAAATCTGCGGTTGTAAAATTTTTTTTGAAATGTGCAAATTTTGAAACTCCAAGCATCCAATTAGACGATGATTCTTTTGACGCGTTTGAATCACTTATTGTTGAAGCGAATTATGTGGAAAATGAAGTTGATTGTGTGGAAAATATAGGAAAGTAAACCACGGAAGAAGAAGAAAATGAATCACAATCGAGTGATTTGAAGAGAATATACATAAGATGTGAAAGTAAAAAATGTAATCGACGAATATTTTTATACCACGTAATTTTCTGTACGATAATTAAATAAATATTTTGTAATACTTCTATAATAAAAATATATAATTACCATAAAACGTTGTACTTACTTTATTCCATAAACAATTATTAAATAATTATTGAAATGTTAAGAGGAGGTGAGAAAATTTTAGACTAAAGGAAAATTACATTTTTCAAAGGTAATGGTAAAGGTATGCTTTTGAGGCCGTCGTAAAGGTCATATTTTGGTTTATCTCGTCGAGATACCCAAATTAAGTACAAAAGGATTTTTGTACGTGGTCCAGAGTGGCTAAAATGAGCCACAGTATTTTTTTTAATGAAAATATACATAAACAGCGGCCTGTGGAAATTTTTGAAAAAAAAAAAAAAATTTTCTCGGCTACAGAATGTGGTAGAGCAATTTTTTTTTTAATTCGCGTAAAATGTCAGCAATCGAATCCTGTAATAGACAATATCGAGAAACGAAAATCGAAGAAAATATTGAAGAAAAACGTGAGCAAAAAATTTATACGTTCTTGAAAGTCATTTTTGTTCACTTGAAATGAATAAAATCCTTATCACTCTTTTTTACCATGAAAGTACAATTGTTAAGGAAAAAAATGAGCCCTGATTCGTTTCTCTATAACTATTCGTCGAGCAAGAAGAGCCGATTTTCGAAATAACCTCTTTTTTTTAGAAAAATCGGTATAACTCGAAAATTCTTTAATATTTTTTAATTTAAAAAAGAGACAATTTTTTGCTTGTCGAGGGCTACATTTACAGCAAGTAACAAGTTCCAAAGCCTTAATTTGCGAGAAATACAGCAAAAACAAAAAAATGCCGATTTTTGACGGTTTTTCCGATATATCTCGAAAAGTAATATAGCAATCGATATATTTACAAATACGAATCCATAGGTTTTTTTAATAGCTACAACTTTCTCATTTAACTTTTTTCGATTGGAGTGCAAGTTTTTTTTCAATGTGAAAAACAAGTCAAGTACAAAATGTTATAAGTACAAACTTTTAATTCTTTCAAAGCCTTTGATCTCTGGAACAGAAAACCGGTTTGATGCATCAACTTGTCAATTTACAGGGTTATTGTGGGTATTTTGAACTGTAAAAATTTCTCTCAACATTAGTCTTTTCATCAATATTTGTAAATTAGCGGTAGATTTTCTAAGAAGTTGTAAAAAGTCATTTTTTGCAATTTTTTCAAATGGAAAAAAAATTTTTTCTTCGAAAACCCTGACAGGTCCTTGTAGAGGATTTATTCAAGTTTTCAAAACTGCACTTGGATTTACTGCGCAATAATTTCTTGCAGAGATATCGGCGATTAAAGACAAAAGTGTTATCTTTCATTCAACCAGCGATATCTCGACAACCAATAGTCGCACGGAGACCTTTCAAAAATTAAATTGAAGCTGAATAAATAAGCTAATTGACCTCTGTACTGATTGAGTTAGAAAAAATTTTCCTGAGTCCGTAGTTCCAAAAAAAAAAAAAAATTCGAAATTTTTCTTTTCGACGTTTTACTGTTGATTGCTCGATAACCACATCTCAAAAAAATTTTTTGTCTAAAGATATTGAAACTAGAGACTTAAAGCTTCAAAATGCTTTTTTGTTTATCTCGACACGACCGTTTTTCACGGAGATACAGTCTTTCGAATATTACTAAAAATTTAATGAAAATATTTTGTTCCTTTAGCAATATTTAAAACAAAAGACTACCTTTAGTATATTAGTCGCAGGATACTCAAATAATGATTAAAACTTTCTAAAACAATGAAATAAATATAGAAATTTATGCCACCTTTCCAGCAAATTGTGATAAATTAAATTATTCGATATACAGGGCGTAACAGAAATAAGGTTACAAACTTTGCCAGCAGATAGAACAATTAAAATTAATAGGGGTATTTCATGTAAAATGTTTGCCTTAAGTGGTTCCTTGGTGAGATACAGGGTGTTGAAGTACAAAAAAAAAACATTTTCTTTAATATATTTCGCCTACTTCGAGCTAATTTCGTGAAATTTCGTATGCGGTGGTTTTTTGAGATGAAAAATTCGAATTTATCGACGATCGACTCTGTATTTATAAAAATAATCAAGCACCACGACGCCATTTTCTGGCGAACTACCCTCCTGACGGCAAATTTAAATTTTCGATAGTAATATTTTTGGAAAAAATAACCTTTAGTATATTAGACACCACAGGTTACTCAAATAATAAACGAAACTTTCCGAAACACAAAGAAATGAATATAGACATGTCAAACATAAAACTTTACAAATTAAGAGGGCTCTACAGCAAATAGCCCATACATTTTTATAGATTTTATTACACAGTTTGTTTAAATATGAATTAATGCACAAATAACAGACTTTCCTCCGTTCTAACGCAGATTTTCTATAAAATGGAGTTGGTTTGAAACTCAAATAACTTTTTGTTGTAAAGAAATTTGCAATTTTGAACAAACGACATCTTAAATTACAAATTTCTTGACACCAAAAAGTTATTTGAGTTTCAAACCAACTCCATTTTGTAGAAAATCTGCGTTAGAATGGGGGAAAGTCTGTTATTCGTGCATTAATTCATATTTAGACAAACTGTGTAATAAAATCTGTAAAAATGTATTGCTTGTTGGCTATTTGCTATCGAGCCCTCTTAAGCCGCCATTTCTCGGTAAAATTTCTTCACGTAAACAAGCAAAATCTACTGGAGTTTTAAACAACCGTATTTCCAGTAAATATCATCGAATATTCCGCATATCTAGCACGTTAATATTTGAAAATAAAAAACACACAGTACCTCTGGGGTCAAGAAGAACAGCTCAAAGTAGTGCCTGGCATGGTCCAAAGCCACCTCCCTGGTCATCGTGATGTTCGTCAGGGTCTGCTGAAGGGCGAATATATTCCTGCACATCCTCTGAATCCCCGCCTCGTCTATAACGTTCATGTACTGCGCCGAACTGATCAGTATCTTCGCTATCAGGTGTCCGAGACCCTCGAAAATATACTGAAAGAAATATACACGTCACACCGAACTACGACATTGTTTTTTTGGCTCACCTTGCACTTCCTGGGGTGCAGACTGGAGGTCATCGCCTCGTCGACGTTCGCCAGCACCCTGCTTAGCTCCAACACTTTCGGATCGGGCTCGTGCGTCTCCTTGTTGTAGTATGTCTGCGCCAAGAGGTAGTGGAAGCACTGTACCCGCACTTCCAGGTGCAGCAGCAGAAGGCACGTGTTGGCCAGCTCGTCGAATTCCTGGGCGATGCCGGTGAGGTGTTGCAACGTGGCGGCCGATATGGGCGGGGCGCAGTCCTTGTGGTTATTGTCTTGCTTGGGCGGGGAGAGGCTCGAGGGCTCCTGTCTGAAGTCGCTGGTGAACTGGAACATCCTCACCGAGAACCACTCCTGAAGACGAGGTTAGCGATTCGAATACAAACGACAACGACGACGCTACTCACCATGCTCTCCTGCAGCTGCGCCAGCTCTTTCAGCAGGCTCATATCGGAGAGTATCTCCCCCGCGGAGACGCCGCCCTCCCCCAAGTTACTGGCCAATATTTCGGCCTCCCGTCTGTTCCTCATGCGGACGTCCTCCGGGCTTTCCTCCTCGGAAGGGTGGTCCCGCCTCAGGGCCCGCCGGCTACGCTCGCTGCGGGCCTGGAACTCCTGCTGGGCCTTCAGGTTCAGCCAGTTCGGTAACGACCTGCGTTTACGTTAAAAATAAGAGACGAGAAATCGACCGGGCCCTGGAAACTCACTTTAAAAACCTGCTGATGTCGTCGTCCTTTAGCCATGCCGCGCTGCAGATCCGACGGTCCTCGGAATGGGGCTGGACTATGCCCCTGTAAGCGGCGTAGCAGGTGTCTTTGTACTCTCGCAAGGCCTTGTAGGAATACTCCGCGATTTTCTCGCTGTACAACGGCAACGCTTGCAATACGGCCTTCCACTCCCGTATGCAACGTTCCACCGTCACGGTACTCTGGAAAAAAATTTAATCTATGTATGCGAAGGACGAGAAGCGAGTTTGAAGACTCACCACTAGCAAAGGCTTGTAGTCGGCGGTTAAGTCCAGCAAGACAGTGGCTTTCCAGGCGTCCGACGCCCTTACCGCGGCCTCTATTTGATCAATAACCTCCTCGGACTTGCGTTTGAGGTAGATGTTCGAGACGTGTTGCGTTATGAACTGGTAGAGATTGCAGGACCTTAAAAGACGGTGATTGTGAAAGAACTACGTTAGTTTTTTTTTGTAAAAATTTGTTACCCGTGCGAGACGTTCGTGATTTGTTCGATTTCCTCGATAAAGCACATGACCGGGATGAACACTATCAATATGTTGTTCGGGTGCGAGGGGCATATAAGTACTTTGTCCTTTTTGGTGGATTTCAGGGTACTGCTCAGCGTAAGGGCGCTCGACGAGCCGTCGAATTTGAACAAAGCCTTCTTTTTGCTAAAATAGTAGTTATTTATGTAACGAATACGCAAAATAATCCTTCCGTCAAGAAATTTTTGGTGTCGGTTCGATCCACCTGATGAGATATGACAATCAGACTATTAGTAGAGTCATTGAAGCTTTTCACCTCCAAATTCTTTGGAACTGAACCGATCGGCTTGAAATTTGGCAGATAGTTAGAGAAAAGGTCAATGAACGTTAGTGACATAGCGCCGATTGACGCTTCCACCCTGTTGGGGGTTGAAACCCCTTCTCGGGGGTGGAAATTTTATTTTCAAAATAACGCTGGAAATCGATAGAGAATCAAATTTTGAGTAAAAAAGATTTTTTTCGAGAAATCAATAGTTTTTTGGTTATTCACGATTGAAAACTTGGAATTTTGAGTGAAAAAACACTTTTTCAAAGTATTTTTCGCGAATAACTAAAAAATTACGTATTTTATTAAAAAAAGTGTAATGAACAAAAATGTAGCTTATAAATAAACAAAGAAAATCGTTTTTTAAAAAGTGTTGTACGACCTATACAAAGCGAAATATGGTTAGTGGAAGGGGACTTGTTTTGGGGGGAATACTCGAATCGATGTATTAAACGTCAAATAACGGGAAAAAGGATTAACTTTACGTGTATAACGCTCCTGGAGTTTTTTGTAGTACTCAAAAAGACCTTCAAAATGAGCACTTATAAAAGTTAATTAGAGCAAAATTGAAGGAGTTATCGTCAAAAACAGATGGGTTGCCCATATTTTTTAAGGAAAAATGAGTAGTAAACGCTGTACAATTTCCATCAGAATTAAAATTTATGGTAGACCCTTTACAATTAGTTTTGTTTTAGTGTTTTTCATACGATCCTGAAGTTAGACCGGTTTAGAATGCATATTTTTTTAATAATGTACGGTAAAAGTTGAATACGTATTTTTCATTATTCAAAAAAAATTTTTCGAGCAAAATGTTGGTAAAAGGGTAGTTTATAAGAGTTAAAAATGGCAAAAGTAAAATATTCATTCATAAACAATATAAGGGAATTTTTATTTTAAATTATTGCACAATTATAGCTTTCCAAGATTTAAAACGTAATTTTTTATAATTTTTTTAGCACAGGGGTGATTTATAAGGGTTGAAAAGCGTTATAAGATACAAATTCTTTCATAAGCAATGAGGGAATTTTTATTTTAAATAATTGCACCGTGAAAGCATTCCAAGCTTTTAAAAAGTAATTTTTTATCATTTTTGTCAATACAGGGGTGGTTTTTAGGGGTTGAAAGGGAAAAATTCTTTTATTAGCTATAAGGTAACTTTTATTTTAAATAATTGCACGACTTAATTATTCCAAATCTTTAAAAACTAATTTTTTATCATTATTTTTTGCATAGGGGTAGTTTTTAAGGGTTAAATAAAGGGTCGAAAAGATCAAATATATCATAAAACGTGTTCGAGAACATGGAACATTATTTAATCTTTGTGCTTGAACAAGATCTTTATCGATAAAGTGCTTAAAACTTCATTTTTTAAATTTTTTTCACTTAGGGGTAGTTTTTACCCCTAAAAAACAAAAAGCGTCAATCGGGCTNAATCGTAGACCCTTTACAATTAGTTTTGTTTTAGTGTTTTTCATACGATCCTGAAGTTAGACCGGTTTAGAATGCGTATTTTTTTAATAATGTACGGTAAAAGTTGAAAACGTATTTTTCATTATTCAAAAAAAAAAATGCCTTACCTATTTATGTAATAACTCTGAAACTATGAAAGATACGTAATAAATGATAGACAACAAAAATGTAGCTTTTTTCAACAAATATTTTGCTTTTTTTTATTCCTTTAAAAAATAAAGGAGATATCGCCGCTTAAAGTATCCAAAGTGAAAAAACGACCTGTCTCGAGCCCTTCGATCCTTTCCCTTTAAAAACGAAGGACTTAAAAGGTTTTATATGCAAACGATCTTACAGCTCTCGAAATTATCTTTAAAATGCTTTTTTGTAGGATACTAGAGCTTCAAAATTAACCGAGTTATGGTAAAAAAACAATTACATTTTTCCGGAGCAAAATAGGCTTTCTCATTTTTGGAGCAAAATGTCAGGCGTCAGCATGTATAAAAGTTTATATGCAGGGTAGCAATTTTTTTTATGATTGATTATATTTAAAAATCGATTATAATAAAAATATTTTACATTAATATTGGTAAAAGGGTAGTTTATAAAAGTTGAAAATGGCAAAGGTAAAATCATTCCAGGATTTAAAACGTTTTTTTCATATTTTTTTAGCACAGGGGTGATTTATAAGGGTTGAAAAGTGTTATGAGATACAAATTCTTTCATAAATAATGAGGGAATTTTTATTTTAAATTTTTGCACAATTATAACAATCGAAGATTTAAAACGTAATTTTTTATAATTTTTTTAGCACAGGGGTGATTTATAAGGGTTGAAAAGCGTTATGAGATACAAATTCTTTCATAAGCAATGAGGGAATTTTTATTTTAAATAATTGCACCGTGAAAGCTTTTAAAAAGTAGTTTTTTTTATAATTTTTGTCAATACAGTGGTGGTTTTTAGGGGTTAAAAGGGAAAAATTCTTTTATTAGCTATAAGAACTTTTATTTTAAATAATTGCACGATTTAATCATTCCAAATCTTTAAAAACTAATTTTTTATCATTATTTTTTGCATAGGGGTAGTTTTTAAGGGTTAAATAAAGGGTCGAAAAGATCAAATATATCATAAAACATGTTCGAGAACATGGNTTTTTAGGGGTTAAAAGGGAAAAATTCTTTTATTAGCTATAAGGTAACTTTTATTTTAAATAATTGCACGATTTAATCATTCCAAATCTTTAAAAAGTAATTTTTTATCATTATTTTTTGGATAGGGGTAGTTTTTAAGGGTTAAATAAAGGGTCGAAAAGATCAAATATATCATAAAACGTATTCGAGAACATGGGACATTATTTAATCTTTGTACTTGAACAAGATTTTTATCAATAAAATGCTTAAAACTTAATTTTTTCAATTTTTTTCACTTAGGGGTAGTTCTTACCCCTAAAAAACAAAAAGCATCAATCGGGCTTATGTCACTTTTGAATTTGAGCCTAAGATGAGCCTTATTCTAAATTTTCATGCAAATCCATGCAATTTCAAAGAATTCGGAGGTTCCAGCTGATATTCAGCTTCAACGACTGTACTATATTGCAGTGTTGTGTTTAATGTCGCAAGCGTTTCTTTTAACAAAATGTAAACCTCACAAAAATAGGTCATTTTATTAAAAATTTACCTTACAGAAAATAGCGAATATATATTTACGGAGAGTGTGAACAAAATGCAGCCACAGCATCTCATTCATACACGGAAAGATTTCCCATTAAAAAATCACCTGACATGGCAAATCTTTGTCAACTCAGTTCAAAGGTGCAGTTTTAGAAAAGGTCGACGACAATCCAACAATGATGGAGACACGTAAACAAATGGGGACCGCAGCAAGAGAAATTATGTCGATATTCGTTATTTTGCAACTTTTTGGAAAATTTACCTTTTTTTAAGAACAGTACTTGTTAAAAAAATGCCTCGACCTTAAGAAAACTTCTTGAAACTTTATTTCGAGTAATTTATGCTGAAAATAAACTTAGGAATATCGAAAACAACTTACGTTGGCTGTTTCCTCCTCGAGAAATACATGGAAATATCGTTTGTATCCACAATATCACTGATCTGCATGTCGCTAGACATGTTCTGGATATCCAAGTAATCGGTGAGGAAAGACTGAAGCTGAAAGAGACCGAGATCACGAAAATAGCGAGAAAAAGACCCGTTACTTACCACAAACTGAACTTGAGACCAATAATACTGGACGCTGTACAACTTAATTTCGATTTTATGGGCTCTACTGGCCTTCTCTATAAATCTCAGCAACAAAAAGTGAGCGTCCGCCACTTCCTTGAACTGATCGAAGACGATTTGTACCAACTCTTTCAGCGCGAGCTTCGAGTCGATCCCGTCCGCGTAATCCTTAACGTGCTGCGTGGATTTCTCTATAATACCCAAAAGCGACAGCTGCATCTCCTGAACGATAATCTAAAAAAGACAAACGTTTCTAATCGCTGTGCGTTAATAAAATCTAAGACTTACGTTGACGGCGAAAGGCAACTTTTCAAGTAAACACAAGCTCTTCACTAAAATAGCGACGAAATTCCTGGGATCATCTTCGGGATTTGGCTTGTCGAGATCCTCCTCTATTTCGAAGCTATCGTTGACGACGTCCCGTTTTTCGCCCCTGCAAAACAATTATCAAACCGGATGTCGACGGGAGACGATTAAATACCTGTTGATGTCGTTTAGAAGATTCCTCGAGGCGGTCGATCGATTCCTACCAGACCTCCTCATTTCCGTGCTTCTCTGCAAGGGAGAATTAATCAGAAACCCGTCTCGACCCGACCCCTGCCTGCGCAGCGCTAAAATGTGTTGGTAAGGCTTCGTATACAAGTGGTTTTTCAGCTCGGATAACAGTTGCAGGTGTAGTTGCTGCAAAATCACGATATCAAGTGTTTTAAATTGAATTGAAATTAATTACAGTATTACAGTACCTCTTTCTTCTGCTCGAGCTCCTGACTGAGCTCCTTCAGGCTCTCCACCCCTTCTAAAGTACCTTTCCCCAAATTTACAGCCTCCACCAGAAGGTTCGTAGCGTGTAAATACTGTTTCCTGGACATGTGATTCGCCAGACGGTTAGGAACTTCATTCATTTTTTCTCTACGACAGAAAAAACATATCAACCACCGTCAAAGATAAATCAGCTGACTCACATCTCGTCCAACAGCTTCAGCATGTATTTGTACTCCAAGCCTTCCAACCACAAGCTCTTCAATTCATCTCTTCGACACCTCAACTTTTTCTTGCAGTCTTGAAGGTTTTCCTTGACTCTCTTAATTTTTTCTCTGTTAGACGACACGATTTGTGAAATGGTGCTAAACAGTTGCATGACCTACCAAACAGGACTAGAATAAACAGTTTTAAATCAGAAACAACTCCCTTACCTTGGTAAGATCATTTTCGTGCTTGGAGACTAGCTCGTCTAGTTTCTGGTCGCAGATTTTGTAATCGGTTTCTAGCTTGGCCTTCTCCCTGTCCCTTTGTTCGTTGGTTTCGCTCGCTGATAAGGTGCGAATTACTGACATCAGCAGACCGCTCTATCGAATATAAACAAATTGGGTTTTAATATAACCTCAAAAACAAACGGATTGTAATGGGGGGTATAATTACCGTTTCTTTTATGGGTTTCACCCCCCTGGGCGGTTTAATAGGGGGCGACTGGTCCATCTCTTCGTTAAACTAACTCTGCTTATCATTAAAAATTCCTCCCACTGGATATCACATAACCTTTAGATTGACGAATATTTGACAGCGGTTGACAAGTCATATTTTTTGTTTTGACACCTGACCAAAACAGTACCGGCCGAAGGTAGGAGGAACAGGAGCGGATTCGGTTATTTTAGAGCCCAATTTAAAATCCAATTGCACTTACACCTTTTTGGGAAATTTCTAGTCTTGGTATGTAATTATTGTGGGAAAGTGATACAGATCTAGAAGACATTGGTGCTTTATGTCGTTACCACAGATACGTTCAAAACATTGGAAATTTTTAGTTTGACAATTTTCAAAATTAACTATTTGACAAACTTAAAATTCAAAAATTGTGGCGGAATAAAAATTTCCGTGGCAGTCCTTTCGTGGTAGATATACACCTCTAAATTCCAGTTTTTCACCGGCAAAATGGTGAGTTGATGATTTTTAAGAACCTTTCAAAACAATTCCAAAAAAATGTATTATGTACAAAACAAAGAAGAAGTTAAAGTGGGGTCTTGATTTTGAGATAAAATAAGAATTAAATGTTGTAGTTATCAAAATAAATTGACTAACTTTCTAGAGGGAATGTATATCCGTTCATATTGGCCAAGCTGGGGTCCAAATAGGTAATTCCACGTGGGAACTATACTGCCTGGAACATGGAATACAACCAGATGGTACTATCAGCGTACAGAAGGAAGTTGCGTCTGACAATTGCTATGGAACATTCTTTTCTGAAGTAGAAAATGGGAAGTTAGTACCTAGAGCTGTGATGGTAGACCTAGAACCTACCGTAGTCGGTACATAAATGTTCTTTAGCTCTCTATAACATATCTGAACATTGTTTTTATATTTCAGATGAAGTACGTACGGGCTACTACAAGAAACTCTACCATCCAGAACAACTCATAACGGGCAAGGAAGACGCAGCTAACAACTACGCCAGAGGCCACTACAGCATTGGTAAGGAAATGCTGAACATTGTTATGGAACGACTGTACAAGCTAGCGGAAAATTGTCACGGATTGCAAGGCTTCTTCGTTTTCCATTCCTTTGGAGGCGGTACTGGCTCTGGATTCTCATCTCTGTTGATGGAAAAGTTGTCGCAGGACTTTGGGAAGAAGAGCAAACTGGAATTCGTGGTCTATCCAGCTCCCCAGGTACATTAACACGATAAATATGCCCAATGCAGATATAAAAAAAATACGTTTCAGGTGTGCACGGCTGTAGTGGAGCCTTACAACTCGATACTTACCACCCATTCTACCTTGAGCCACTCAGACTGTGCCTTTATGGTAGACAATGAGGCCATCTACGATATATGTAGACGAAAGTTAGGCATAGAACGACCCGATTATATCAATTTGAATAGGCTCATCAGCCAAGTGGTGTCATCGATTACAGCGTCTTTAAGGTTCGACGGTGCCCTTAATGTAGACCTAACGGAATTCCAGACCAATTTGGTGCCTTATCCGAGGATACACTTCCCTCTGGCCTCCTACGCGCCTGTCGTGTCTTCTGAAAAGGCCTATCACGAAGGAATGTCGGTGGCAGAGATAACCGCCGAGCTTTTCGAACCGACGAACCAGATGGTGAAATGCGATCCCAGAGAAGGTAAGTCTCGTTAAAACCCGTGGTGTGCTCGCCAACCGGCTCAGTTTCGTCCTATGACGCATGACGTCAGTAACGAGATTTCGAGTTGTCACAAAGTGTATAGTATATTAAATATAAACAAAATATTGAAGTTGATCGTGATACGTAAGACAACAAACGTGTAATTTCCACATTTACATATAGCATGAATCTCGTTTAAAAAGTCAGTTTCAGTATGTAAAATCTAAACGTAAACATAACCTTAAATTTAACATCAAAATTGAAATTTGAAGCTTTAGTTGCTTTGCACAACAAAATGAATGATGTGGAGTTGTTTATGTTGCAACAGTTCTGAAAATGTGGCATTTATTAGAAAAACTACAGAAAATTATTACATTTTCATGTCAATATAATATGCTTTGATTTCCTCAGGGTCTCGTTTGTGACGTCACACATTGCGCGTAGGCACACCACACTAGTTTTTCTTCAGTTATACACGTGTTTGTTTACATTTTATCTGCTTTCTTTAAGAAGAAATTAGTTTGGCCAGAGGGGCGTATGAAATACCTTAATTAAATACCCTCAATATTTAAAATTAAATAAAGTGATCAGCTGCTTGAAAAAACAGCGCCATCTTTTCGTTTATTTCCGCAGTTTCTATACATTTCTTGAATAAAAAGATTTCAGATCTGCATCTATAAGATCAGTGATCGCATTCTCCCCTCCACAATTGAAATTTAATACCAACCTGTTAAACTTAAACAGCTAAATGTAACCAAACATTCAAATCATCGTGAAATCATATGAAATACCTTAATTAAATACCCTCAATATTTAAAATTAAATAAAGTGATCAGCTGCTTGAAAAAACAGCGCCATCTTTTCGTTTATTTCCGCAGTTTCTATACATTTCTTGAATAAAAAGATTTCAGATCTGCATCTATAAGATCAGTGATCGCATTCTCCCCTCCACAATTGAAATTTAATACCAACCTGTTAAACTTAAACAGCTAAATGTAACCAAACATTCAAATCATCGTGTTTGTAATTTCGAACTGCAATTCGATTATTTTTAGGCAAATACATGGCGTGTTGCCTTCTCTACCGGGGCGACGTCGTGCCAAAAGACGTAAACGCGTCCATAGCCCAGATGAAGGCGAAGAGCAACGTAAGGTTCGTCGACTGGTGCCCCACGGGCTTCAAGGTGGGAATAAACTACCAGCCGCCCACAGTGGTGGAAGGCGGCGACCTGGCAGGCGTCCAAAGGGCAGTCTGCATGCTCTCCAACACCACAGCCATAGAATCGGCATGGAAGAAACTGAACAAGAAGTTCGACTTGATGTACGCCAAACGTGCCTTCGTTCACTGGTACATCGGCGAGGGAATGGAGGAAGGCGAGTTTGGAGAGGCGAGGGAGAACCTGGCGACGCTGGAGAAGGATTACCAGGAAGTGGCGGCGGAAACTATGGATTTTGCCAGTTCGGAAGAACCCGAGGCGAAAACGGATTGACGGGATTGGAAATTCGTTTTATTTCAGAAGTGAAGGGCTGCGTACGAGTTTTCAAGGTTTGGGAAGAAAAAATTTGGTAATATTTGGTAGGATTTATTTGAGATTACAATAAAAAAAATAAAAATGCTAACGGGTTTCACTGTTGCTTAGTGTTAATCGCTGAAAGTAAGTTTTTAAATTAACTTTGGGGGATTTCTTTCGCCGAGTTGGCAGTTTGGACAATTTTTTGCTTTTCTTACAATTCATTTCGAGAAACTACCAAATACTTGGTACGGCAATGACTAGTCGACTTAAACGATATTAAAATTCCTTGTAACGTCTCTTTTTCAGATACTCTTCAATTACATAATATTTTTACAATAACAATTAAATTACTGAGATCATAAACATTAAGAAATACTTTTATACACGGATTAATACTTATTTATTTTTTTCTACAGCGGGATCGTAGAACAGCTTCATGATTTTAGCAGTTTTGTTAACCTGTCGATCTCGGAACCTAGAGTATCTACATTTTCCTGAAAAAAAAGTCACGGTTTTTAGTTTTCCTTCGACGTCCAAGCACCGAAACGCATTTCGCCCTAAAAATCCTACCTTTAAAGTGATATTTTTAAGCAGTGCGTCCTCGAGTACAGCCTGTAGCTTCCTGTTGATGTCCAACGACAATTCGAGCGTGAGACTGTCGTCCACGACTCGGGAGCTGTACATTGAGGCCATCACACCGTTCAGTTTGGCTAGCTTCGCCTGTGAAAACGCATTTTCACGTTATCGTTCAACCATTATGTCCAATTCGTACAAAAAAAAAACAATAATGCGAGGAGGTTCCTATTAAAATTTTGAAAATTCTAAAATGTTTTTTCATAATTTTCTTCAAAAAATTATTTTGCGAAAACTATCGAACCGATTTTAATGAAATTTGGTGTGTTGTTTTATTATACTCTAAAGTTTTTTTTGCCAAAATTAGAATGCCCTTGGAGCAATTAAAATATTTTAAAAAAATTATCCAAAAAACTTGATTTTGCCTTTTTTGACGAGAACAATTAATTGCGGCATTCGATCAGTCGTTTCGAATAAATAAAAAAAACAAACCAAAAGAAACTAAAAACGTCGAAAAATAAACCTGACGGAAACATTACTCCGACGTTACCGCCAAAACTTTGTGCAATTCCGTAGGGACGAAGGTGCAAGAAAAAAAAACAAGAATCAAATGACAGACAAGCGATACACTTACCAAAATTTCGACGTCTGAAACGTTGTAGTAGAAACAGAAAAATAAAAATTTACCACCACCAAAATAGCACGAGACGTCCGAGAGCTCCGAAATAATTTCCCCGAGCGAAACGATAGCAATAAAAATATTCCCCAAGCTCTCGAACGTGCTTATAACGAACGACGTGACTTAAAAAATTCCGAACTAACCTTGTTGCTGTCCATCGAATTGGAAGTGAGGGTCCCGGCCTGCTCCCGCAATATGTAATTCTGCAACAGCTTGGATTTCCTCTGGAGCTCCGCCACCAGGGTGTTGACGTGCTCCTCGAGAAAGTCCAGCTTCTCCGACTTCTTGGCGCTGATCCTCTGCAGCTTCACGATGTGCTCTATGAGCGCCTGTTTGTCTATCTGGGCATCGGGTTGGATCACCTTAAAGAGAAAAATCAGAAAATTTACAAATACGAGTATATTACAATTTTTCTATAAAAAACCGCACCTTCACTTGTTCCGGTTCTACCGACCGTTCGGCTCCGTTCAAGGACGAATTCGAACTGCTCCTGCTCGTGTTCTCCATACTCTCGAAGTACTCCAGCTTCTTACGGCACTGCTGCAGCTCCTTGTTCACTTCCTGCGACATTTAAATCGTAAAAATCAATCACAAAACGACGATAAAACAAACCGACCCTTAAGGACATCTCGAACTTCCGTTTCATCAACACGTTCTCCCCCTTCTGATCCACGGCCTCCTGCTTGCACTGCTCAAACGACTTTGTCTTCTCCTCCAAGTTTCTCGTGAGCGATTCAACTTCCTCGCCGTACTTCAGCCTCTCCTCGGACAACTTGGCGGACAACATACTGGCTTTGGTCTCCTGTTCCTTGATCTGTCTCTTTAGCAGGGTCTGCTCGCAAGTCAACTGCTGCACTTTAGTCTCCATGGAGGTAAATTCCGACTGCAGCCTCACGTTCTTGTCGGTGAGCTGTTGCGTGAACAAAAGCAGCTCCGCCTCGCGGACCCGGCACGACTCCATGTCAGATTCCAACTCGGAGTTCCTCTGTTTGAGTAGGTTCACTTGTTCCTTGCAGGCTGCCAACTGATCCTGCTCGCTAAATAAAAACAAAGCTAGTTTTAAAAAAAGTAGGTCAAATGTACCGTAGGCATCGATTTTAAAACAGTGGACATGTACTCACTGTTTCAACTGCAGTTTTAACTGTTCCAGTTGCACGGTCTTGGCCTGTAGGTCTGCGAAGTCTTGCCGTTGTTGATCGGCGCAGCCTCTCAGTTCGCTCAGTTTTTGTTCGGTTTCCAGACGTTCCCTCTCCAACTGTTGAACCTTCAGCGACAAGTCGTTGTTCTCCTGCAGCATGTCCTTCTGTTTGGTTTGCAATCGTTGCAGGTCACTCTGCAGGGCTTTTACCTGCTGTTCTCTATCCTTCTTTTCATGCTTGAGGAGTATCAGTGACGCTTGTTGCTCTTTTACTTGCTGATCTGTAACGATATACGATTATCGAACGTAACTTACGAGTTTTCGAGCTGTCGCTACCTAATACGAACGCTCTGTTTTCTTGGGAGTGTTGGAATGATTTGATGGAGTCCTCTGCGTCACGTTTGGCCTGTTCAATTTGATCTTGCACCTCTTGCAGCTTCGAATTTAATGATTCTACCTTACCCTGACATTCCTAAAAGAGAACGGTATGATTTGTTGGAAGGTAAAGGAGATTCAGTACCTTGTGCGCCTCGATCTCCGATTTCAAGCTATTCTGAGACCATTTCAGTTTGGTTTCTAGCGCCGACAAGTCCGCTTTGGTTCGTTCTAATTCCTGCTGGACGGTTTTGTGTTCGTAACACTTGTTGTCTAGCATCTGGCAAATCCTCGCTTTCTCCGATACCATGGTCTGCACCTTGTGCTGGAATATCTCGTTGTCACGCGTAGCCTCTTTGTACTTTTTCTCGGCGAGTTCCCTTTGTTGCTTCTCCTTCAGGACGTTTTTCTCGCCGACGGCGTATCGCATCACCATTACCTCTTTTTCTTTTATTGCGGCATCTTTTTGTTTCACAGCCTTACAAAAATGTTTACTTTTACAAAGGCTGGTTCATTTTAAAATGAAATCCGCAGTTTTTATATGAAAAAAGATAGCGGGTATGATTTTGCGAAAAAATTTAAATAATTTCAACCTTTCCACGAATTTCATTGGTTTGTGACAAAATTGACAGATAGTTGATATATTATAGCGAGAGTCCAACATGAAAATAAAGAATAGTTCCAAAAACTGTCGAATTTGCAATTCAAATTAACAATAAGTTAAAATAAAACATTGTTTAAAACAAAACTTAAAAAACAAAACGTAAAAAACTAAGAAAGAACAAGATTTTAGAAATCCGAGAATTTCCTATTTCTAAAAATATTCGAGTTGTTTCAAGACGAATAATGATTTTATATTAATACATTTGAAGTGATTTAGAATGCAGGGAAAAACAGAATGACAACGAAAAATCAAATTCGGTAAAGATATACTTCGTTGTATCACACACTAAGCTTTAGAAAGTATAGCAAAAAACAGTTACCTGCTCCAATTGAGATATCAACTCCTTCCTCTGCTGTTCCAAATACGTGCATTTCTCCTCGAACCCCTTAATTTTATCAGTGTTTTGCTCAATAATCTTTTGCTGATATGCTATAGTTTCAGTCAGTTTATTATCAAAATCAGTCTCAACTTTCGTCCTACCTGTACTTTCTAATACGTCAACAGTCAGATCTTGGTTACTACCATTTTCATCTTCCACAAGTTTGTCTGTTCCCTGATTAATAAATACCACCGCTTTATAAATTTTGTTGTGTTCCAAGTTTTCATTATGGTCAGTTTTCACTTCTGGAATGTTAACTTCTAACATATGGGTCTCATTTTCGCAATTTAAATCCAATTTTTCGCTCATTTTGGGAAGATTAATTACAAGCTAGCTCACCAAATTATTTGCTCATAATCAAGGTTCTATAAATCATTTATCAGCCGTAAAAATAAACATTATCTACTTTGACAATTTACTGACACAGATTTAGGTTAGGTTAAGAGAAGACATCAATCTGCATTGCCAACTTTTACAAATTTTTTGTGATTGATTTTGTCGGACATTTTGAAAGTTGTAAGGCCTGAAAAAATCGATGATGTGACCTACTTCCAAGGCCACTATAATAGTAGAGGTTGTATCAAGAAGAGCATGGCCAACTCGGTAAAGTTGGAACGACTTCGAGACTGGGCAGTTTTTTTTTTAAATTAAGAAGACGTGGAACGTTAATACATGTTTTATTTAAAAAAGAATAGGTATCAATGGAATTTACATCTTTTAAAGCTGCGTACATGTTATTGTGCTTGTATAAGAAAAGTATATTATTTCATATATAAAAAAGTACTATAAACACGATATTAAAGCTTAACACAAATTATTCACTATTTTTTCTTCGCTCACATAATATACCAAATAATTACGAAGATACAACTATAAAATAATAAATAAATAGAAATAAAAATAAAAATTGATGTTAGACAAAAAAATTATGTTGCAGATAACAGGATCATACGAGATAAATTTGAGTTATTTAACTAGAACGTTTTCCGATGTATAGCCCTTTGGCCTTCCTCGTCAAATTCGCGTTTCGACACCCACATCTTCTTGAAGGTGTCCAGAGATGCCAGGATCGAGCCCCCGATCCAGGTCGAGTACAGCCTCTCTTGTGGGGCTGATATCTGAAAATTTAAAAATGTTTTACACTATTTAACACGCCGTACACCTCCTCCCACCTTTATTTGAGTCTCCTTTGGCGACATTTTCTTTATTTCCGACAGAAGCCTGTCCCCGAAGCCCTTGAATAAAGTAGAACCGCCCGACAACACGATGTTTTTGAATAGCACCTTCCTAAGGTCCAGATCGGACTTTTGAATTGAGTACATCAGGACTTCGTGCAATCCCTCGCACTCCTCTCCTATCAGGTCGGGCTTGAACAGTATCTCGGGGGCCCTGAATCTAGCCGGACCTACTTTAATAACGCTGCCGTCGGGTAAGGTGTAGTTTATCTGCTCCGTCTCTACCGATTCCTCCTTGATGGGATTGTTGGCCAGATAGCACGCCTTTTCCTTGAGGGTCCTCACGGATTCGAACTCGGCTGTCGTTCGGAAGATTATGCCCTCTTTTCGAAGCAACAACCTGCCAATCGCAAAGCAATACAGTTTTCTTTCAATAAAGAATAGGCTGCCATGACGATAATAAAACAATTGCACTGACGGCATTGCGATTGTTATTTTATTGGCCATGGTTTACTTGATTCAAAAGTACGTACCTTAAGTATCTGGAAACGTCACGTCCGGCGATATCAGACCGCATAATACTGTGTGGCAGAGCGAATCCTTCGTAAATAGGCACCGAATGTGTAACGCCATCACCTGAGTCAAGCACTACTCCCGTAGTTCTTCCTGTGGAATATCTGAAATAAAAAATTTATACCGGCTGACATACAGAGACGCAAACACATAAAACATACTTACAAACTAAGTACAGCTTGCATTGAGATAAACAGGGCTGGAACGTTGAAAGTTTCGAATAGGATTTCAGCTGCCTTTTCCCTGTTCGGTCTTGGATTTAAAGGTGCCTCAGTCAGTAACACGGGATGCTCTTCGGAGAAAGTGGACAACTGGTCTTTGCTGTAGATGTAGCTCCAAATCTTCTCCATATCGTTCCAGTCTGTGACGATACCGTGTTCCATTGGGTATTTAATTGAAAGTAAACCCCGATGTTCCTCAGCCTTAGGTCCTATGAATAAATCTCCTTCTAGGGCACCCGCCATTACACGGGTATGTTTTGGTCTACCAACACTACGGATGTTATGTGTAAAATTTATGTGGGTTTATTAGAAGGTACTTACTAGTTTGGAAACCTGCATTTCGGGATCTGATCTCCGGCAAAGCCTGCCTTTATCACGCCAGTGCCCTGAAAATAGTTTTGTAAACAATGAACAAAGTTACAGATCGAAATATGGTCCCCTTACGTTATCTATCACAACCGGTTGATTTACAATTACATCGTAGGCTTCCATTTTATACAAAAATATTTATTTTACACACCTTTTTCTACTTAACTACTGACAAATGTCAATCAAATTTTGAAACGTCAAACGAGTGAATCATAAAGGCAAAAAATAAGACGAAAAATCCCTAAGTATAGAACTGTTACATATCGCGTTCGGAATCACCAAGACGATAGATATTCCAGTACAATTTGGATTGTACGCACAACGAATTCATTCATCATTCACTCATTTATTTATTTATATTTCAATAATCAATAATTAAAAATCTAAAATACCTCTGAAATATTTTTAAGTCTATTTCATTATTAATAAATTACCAATATCTTCTAAATATGCTCTGTTAACATATTTAAATGTTTGTTTATATGTAGTGAGTTAATTGGTACTGACTTCTTATGACTAATAAATGTCCAGATTACAGAACTTTCAGTAATTTTGTACTTCATGATTACATCAAGTCTTTTTCGAAAATTTCAGAACCTACCAACCGGTAATTTATTACGTGTGACTTCAACATGCTGATATGTCAGTTAATGCATTTCGAAGCTGATAAACAAATACGTTTTAGCATAATTGGGGTTTCGTTAATAAGAGAGTTTTAAAAAAATTCGTTTGTGGTTTTCGCATTATGAGATTTCTTCCTTTGTAGCTACCGGTAAGCTCATTAAAAATGGACAGCCTTGAAAAAAAGCTCCTAATCCTAGAATGTAACTTAGCTAACACTAACAATATTAATATTAACAAGCTATAAATTTGTTTATTACTTTAGGGGTTGTTTTTAATATAAGTACGTTTGGGGTCTTTGGATCCAAAACTAAAACAATGCTTAGACGACATTTTAACAACTACTTTATTTGGGAGTGTACAATGCACCCAATTTCAGGGCTACCAATGTAAATGAGGTTATAAATATTAACAAATCGTGGATTAAAGGGTTTTTATTTGCAGATTTATGACATTTTAGACGAAGAAGTGGATTTTATATCTATATTAATCAAAGACAGGAGCGAGTTTGTTTTATTAACCGATAAATTGTCAAGGTGTGATTGTTTATAAACTTTGTTGGGTTGGCAACATGGCGACGCCAAACAGCAAAGGATTATGGGATAATCATGTACGTCTGTGACAAGTGAAATTGTACTCAATTGCGAAGAAAAATAAACACGGTATGTATGTGATTTGTGCCAAAATTACCTTAAAACAGTAACTAATACCGTCAGCGTGTAAAAATTAAAATCTTGTGACTGGTTGTTGATCTCCGAAACTGCTGATTTTGGGGGTCTGTAACTAGAAAAATCAGATGATTTTTTCTCAGATTGTAGTTGTTAAAGCAACAATAAAGTTCTACACTGAGTTGCCTCGCAAAGTGAAACAATTATTTTGACAATTATTTTACGTCGTGAGTGTATGATTTCTAGGTGTAAACATTGATGAAGCTGTGAAACCAGCAAAAATGAATGAAGAGACCAGAGAAAGTTATGACAGTGGAGAGGTTGTCTGGGTGAAACTGGGATCTAGTTGGTGGCCTGGTGAGGTTAAAAACGCAGAAGAATTGCCCAGTGAAGTACTGGATTTTAAAAAGCCCCCACTCGTTATCGTCAAATTTTTCGATGAGGACTCTTAGTAAGTAATCGAACACTCTAATTTTTATTTTAAAGTTTTCAATACCTAGCTTCCGTGTGTTAAAAATTTTGTTCAGGTTGTACCGTTGTTGCTGAGTCTAAACATTTTTAAAGATAAAATTATCTACCTTGTGAGCTGTCGAACAAAACATTAGCGAGGAATGCGGCTATAAAGCACATCGTTTGATAAAATATGTTTATATTTTGTAGTAATAAAAATCATTGTCATATCGACTGTGAATAAATTGTATTTATATTTAAATAAATGCGTGTCCCTAGCTTGATTTCTTAAAAATTTTCTCTTCCAGTGAGTATGTGAAGACTTGGACCAACATCTACCCTTATAACTGCGATAAGAAGAATGAGTTTATCAAAAAGGGAATGGGTACGTACAAAATTTTGCTTTTTGTCTTGATGCTAAAATCTAAAATTATAATCCATTCGTTATCACAAATTTATTTTTTTTGAACCAATTTGTTTTAATGGAAACATCTTTTGGTAAGAAGTGTTTTGAATTTTTTAAATGGTAATCAATTTAATCAATAACTTTTTTTTTTATAATTTTAATAAAAAAAATCTGAACATGTTTACTTTTGTAATTATTAACTTTTTGGAATTTTTTATATGAAATTTATGTAACACAAATATTTCACTGCAATTTATGAGGATTATTTTATATGTATAAATTTTTTTTTATAATTTATTCTTCTGTTCCAATTAATAATATTTCTAGCGCAATTTGTTACGGAATTCTATCCTTTTTAGCTGCTTATCGAGCTAAACTCCCCCACATGGAGAAATTTCCCAAAGACGTCCTAAAGGCGGAGGAAAAGGTGGGTGGAAACCCCAACATCTTGAGCAATCCGATGTTTTTGCCCGAGAAGAAGCGAAACTATGCCGCCGAGATCTTCGGGACTCCTAGTCCGAAAAACAGCTCCTCCAAGAGCAAGAAACGTTCCAACACAAACAGTAAGTAACCGTTTTACAAGCGGCAACACTTGCTTTGCTTTTTTCCGTTAAATTACCGACTATTTTGTGGGTTTTCCAGAATCGAGCGGCAAGAAAGACACGTCGCACATCACGCACAGGAGATTCCTGGGAGTGGATGATTACCGGGCGTATATCTGCATCCAGTACCCCGGGAAAGACAGAATACCCGGCGATAGGGAAGACGAAGAGGTCATCCGCATCAACAGGGAGCTGGAGCAAGACTTTAACTGCCACTCGTGCAGCTTCAGCACGAAACGACTGGAAGTCATGATCCTCCACACGAAATCGCACATCCAGGGCGTCTACCTGTCCTCGGCCCGGAAAAATAAGCAGACCGTCAGACGGCGCAAGGAGAAGTCGAAGAAGTCCAGGGGCTCCAATTCCGACACCAGCACCAGCGATTCCGAGCCGGTGCGACAGAAGAAGAGGAAGCCCAAGTCCCAGGGCGCCAAGAAGACCAAAATAAAGAAAGCGGAAGAGGAGGCGCCCAAGAAGGACATCCGCAGCGAGTTGTTGGAGGCGTGGGAGGACAGCGAGGACGAGGACATGGATTTTGGCCTCGATAAAATGAACGAGTCGGAGCCGACAGAGGATAAATCCAACAAATTGATGGACTATTCTTCTATACCGCAACTTACATTGGACGATTCGCTGAAAGCATCGGACACGCTGGATAAAACTGCCGGGCCGGATCAAAGCGAAACGGAAACTGCCGACGAGACGAGTAAGCCAATACGCCCGTTGGACGAGCCAAGATCGCCTTCCCAAACCATCGAGGAGGTTCTGAACGACGTATCGGGTGAACTGGACGAGGCGAATGCACAGAATGAACCTGTAAAACCCGTCGAGGAACATTTATCCACCGAGAAGCTTCTCAGCACCCTCGAAGACGATTCTACCGACGTCGACGACAAAGCAAGCGAGAAGAAAGACGAAGAAGAGGTCGATAAAGTGGACGGAGAACAAGAAAACGTTAAAAAAGACGACGAAGAGAATGCGGCCTCCCAAAAATCCGACACGGACGAAGACACGTCCAAGCAGACGATGAATAGGGACATGCACGAAGCCATCAAGTCATGCTTCGATTTCGATGAAGACGACGAGGAAGACACGATCGTCGGCAATGCTACCTCGGGAAGGAAGATCCCGCGGGTCATCCCCAAAGTGACGAGGAAGAAGTCGTCTGAAACCGCGGATCCCGAACCGATAAAAGAAACCCCCAAAGACAAGGGGGAGGACATGAGCGCCGCCTTCCACGAACTGATGGAGATAACTTCGGTGCCGGATCTGCCCGACGTCCAGAACACTCTCAAGTGCGAGCAAAATTTTCACAATATCAAGACCATAAAGTTTCCGGATAAGGCAGAAGAGGCGGGCTCCCCGCCCAAGCCCGAGAGAAAGGACTCGACGGAGGTCGCCACGAAACTGACGAACCCCAAGAAGCGGTTCGTCAAGTCCTTCGAGGATTTCGAGCTGATGCAGAACGAGATAAGACGCAGGGAGGAGGAGCAGCTGGAGACGTCTAAGAACGAGAAGTACGACAGCGGTTTCGACTTTGAGGAAGCCAGGACGGAATTCACCGGCGGCTCCTCGAAAAATTACGATTCGGATAACTCGGACGAGCGGGATTCGCCCGATTCCACCATCCAGCTATCCAAGCTGAAGAGCAAGATAATGTCGAAGATCATCGAGGAGGCCAGGATAAACGCCGTGTCCAAGAACAAGATAATGTCAAAGATAAAGGACGCGAAACCTAAACCGGCCGAGACGGAAGTTAATCCGGCAACTGCGGAACCGGAAGCGAAATCGTCGGTTAACAGTTTGGAGAAGACGAAAACCGAGAGGGTTACCAGTCACAGGACGCCGCGTAGCAAAATACTGGAATCGTACAGGAAAGATGCCAGCAAGCACAAAGTCGAGCAAAAATCGGAAACGCCACAATCGAATAACGAAGATAGACTGAGAGATAGCCAGTCGGTCAAAGAAGTGGTGCCACCGAAGAAGAACAAGTGGTCCAGGAGGGGAAGCCACCCCAAGAAGGACAGGAACTTGTTTGTGCTCCAAGACGCCGCCCCGGAGGATCCGGTCACTACAGAAATTGAAAAGCAGACGGTGGACGAATCCACAAACAACCAAACAAACGTAGAGTTGGAATTGATAGATGACGCGCGCAAAATTAACGATATTATCTTGGGCGAATCCAGTTCGACGCTTTCCGACATTTTGACGCCATCCGATGACGTTCCGACGTCACGCGACGACGTTCCTACGCCACGCGATGACGTTCCCACGCCACCCGACGACGTTTCGATACCACACGATGATGTTCCGACACCATGCGATGACGTTTCTATACAATACGAAGATGTATCGACACCACGCGATGACGTCCTTACACCAAGCGATGATGTTCCTATATCACGCGATGACGTTCCACAACCACGCGATGACGTTCCGCAACCACACGATGACGTTCCGCAATCGGGCGATGATGTTCCGCAACCGCGCGATGATGTTCCGCTACCGCGCGATGACGTTCCGCCAAAAGGCGATGACGTTCCGCAACCACGCGATGATGTTTCGCAAAAAGACGATGATGTTTCGCAAAAAGACGATGACGTTCCGCAAAAAGGCGATGACGTTCCCCAACCACGCGATGACGTTCCGCAACCACACGAGGTTTTGGAAGTAGCAGAAACGACGGCAAAGGAAGCGGAAAGCACCGAACCGCAACTGACTGAACTCTTACCCCTGCAAGTCGATGAGAATGATACCGCTTCAAAGAAAGACGAGATAATCGAGGAGTCGCAGATGTTGGTTAACGAGGAAGTCGAAGTGGTGGATATTTTGCCGTCGGCCTATACCGAAGCGACCGAAGTTAAAGAAACTCCTCAAGAAACTCCTCAAGAAACAGAGTTTTCCGTAGAAACGAACGAGGTTCGTCGAGAGGAAGTCGTAGAGGAAGCAACTCTTGAAGAAGTTCCTCAGAAAATGGAACTCGGAGCTGTGCAAGAAGAGAACGAAAGAGTAATTGAAGAAGTTACGGACTTGCATCCGCAAGATGCTTCTTCCGTCGTAGAAGAAAGCCCTGTTACGGACGATCCCTCGGCAAATATCGAAGAAACGTCCGTCGTGCCATCAACCGAGAGTGAGACCGTCGCCTCTAATAAAGTCGGACCGGAAGCGGTCCCGATCACAGAGGAACATATCGAAGTGGAGGATTCTCTAGTTATATCGCCAATTAATGAAGCGGAAGCCAGTCTGCCTCAAGATGCCATCGTAACGCCTCCCAAGAAGAGCAAAAAGAGGAAAATATCGGAAGGTGGCGTCCCCCTCAGCCCTACGAAAAGCGGTACCGTGGCGGAACCGCAACCTGAAGACTTTGCGCCTTTAGAAAAGAAACTAAAAGAGGGAGAATATGCTGAGGAAGAAGTAAAAGTTACCTCGCCCGCTTTGGAGACGTTCGATAAAGTCGGTTCCGAAGTAGATGTAGAAAACGAAGAGGTTAAGGATGAAGGACAAGGCGGAAAAGTTGAAATAATGGAAACGGAACCGGCAGCGGTGGAAACTGATAAGAGCGTCAAAGAAAAGAAAAATACTGGGGAGTTTGAGAGATACGACGAAGAAATTAAAATGGAGAGCGAACTCGTCGTCGATATCGCAGAGACGGACGTTATCGGCAAAGAAATCGAAGAAAAAGCGGGGAAAAGCACGGAACCCGACGCTGCCCGGGAAAAACCCGAAGACGTCGATAGTAACGAGGACCTGGACAAAGACAAAGACCACCACAACGAGGTGGAGATCCAGTGCGCCAGCAGCTCGGTGGAGAGCTTCAAGTTCTCCATCCAGACCAACCTGTCGATCCTCTCCAGCAGGGAGGAGATGTCCGCCCTGGCCCTCGCGACGCTGTCCGAGATCAAAGCGGACCTGGAGAGCAACGAAGACCTGATGCCCAAGGAGAAGGAAGCCAAGCCGTCGCCCCCCGTGCTGCCGGAATCGGAGATGGTGCCGATCGAGGGCAACCTGACGGTCGTCTCGGAGAAGGATCTGGCCGACGGGCAGGTCGAGATCACCTCCGAGCAGGTGATCAGCCCCAAGAGGCCGGCGACGCTGTCCAACTTCTCCATGGACTTTTCCGATTCGCTCAGCGACAGCAACAGCAACAGCACGACGGACACCTCGTGCGACCTAGGCAAGGCGGATTTCAACTCGAAAGGGACGGAATTCACTGCGAAGGCCCTGACGAAGCAGATGAAACGCTTCGACCAGAAGAAGGAGAGCACTTACGGGCGCCTCGAGCTGATAAATATACTCGAGGGGAATTCCGACACGGAAAAGAAACCGAAAGAGTTCACTCACCCACCGAAGAAGACGACTATGGTGGACGATATATGCGATTTCGAGGAGCACATCCCGTCTCAGATCGTCTGCGCCAAAAACTTGAAGAAAGACGTTCCCGCGGAATTCGAGCAGGACTACAAGGAGTTCAGGGAGAAGGAGAAAACTTCCAAGACGTCTGTCAAGTCTACGACTTCTAAACTGTTGGAGAGGCTCACGACAGAGTCCAAGGCGAAAGCTTCGGCAGCCAAAAGCATGATCGCGAGCGTCCACCCCGTTCCCGAACTACTCAGCAAATTGCCAGTCAAGGCGCAAGCCGTCCCGCCTTCCAAAACCACCAAATATTCGTCAAAATCCAAGTTGGGCGTCGGCAAACCGATAATACTGTCTGAGCAGATCGTTAAACCGGCCACCGACACGTCAAAATTAAAACTGCGGAAGCCGATGGAGGACTTCGAAAACGTCGAGGCGTTCGTTATCCACAAGGACCCTAGCAAATCCAACTTGGAAGAGGAAGAAACCAAATCAAAAGTCACTTCCGCCAAAGCCCCGGGCAAGGCGAAAATATTACAGCAAACCATCATAACCCCGGCGGGGGAGATTATCCAACCTAACGTTACCGAGGCGCAGCCCGACGACAACATTTTCGATATAAACTCGATGCCCATCGTGCTCTCGGACGAGATCCTCACCCCGGAGAGCATAGAAAAGATGCCGATAGTGATCGGGAGCGACGCCAAGGTCACCGTCGCGGAGAAAGCGCCGAAACGACCCGCCCCGAGCAGAATCGTAACGACCGTAACGAGCCAAGTCGCTACTAACAAAACCGTCACCATCACCAAGCACAAACCGCCCAGGATCCTGCAAACTTTCAGCGGCAAAGTCGCCAAGAACTCGCCCTTGCACCCGAACACCGCCAAACCCGGGAAATACATAATCGTGCCGCAGAGCAGCATACCGCCGACGAAATACCTCTCGAAGAAGCCGACGATCGTTAAGAAAGCTCCGGTTCCTACGGGGCTCGTTCAGAAAGTGCCGAACATCGCCCCGGAGCCCAGCGGCAACAAGATAATGATCGTTACTAACCAGCAGGGCCAGCAACAACGCCTGTTACTCACTCCGGCGCAGCAGAAGATGCTCGGGTACCAGAACCAGAAAGTTACCAAGACCATCGTCAAAAGCAACGTGATGCAGAAGAGCATCCTTGCGTCCAAGGGTGTGTCGGTAGCGGAAGCGAGCACGAGCGGGGTCGTATCTAAAACACCCACTATAATAGGCCAGAAGGTCCTGGTAGGGCCGAACACCGCCCAAGGATTGATCACCACGACCGGTCAGCAAGTTATAGGCATCCAAGGGAGGACCGCTAAGACCGTGACGAAAAGAACGACCGCTGCAGCGCCGAAACTAGGAGCGCCCGCCGGCAAACCTCAGAAAACCATCCTAATAAAGAACCAACACGGGCAGACCGTGAGAAAGATCCAAGGAACCGACGACGAACTACTCGACAAGCAGGTGGCGGAACAGCTGAAAGCTATCAAAGCGAGTAGCGGGATGAAGTTCAGCTCGCAACAAAAAGCGGTGGACATAGAGAAAACGGCGCCTAAGGGAACTTTGAGACGTTCGTACTCGAAACGGGTGGAGGTGAAGCCCAGAGGGCCACCGCCGCTAACCGGTATCCACCACTCGCCCAAACAGGAAACGGTGGTCAGCGTATCGACAACCGCAGCGAAGAAAACCGAAGCGAGTGAAGCGAAAGCCGCGTCTAGCCTGCTGTCGGAAGAAACTAAAGCGCAACAAACCGAAAGGCCTTTGAACCAACTGGTGATCCAGGACGCGGTCGGCAACCAAACGACCATCACCGAAGGTCAGATCCTGGCTCTGCCTAGCGAGACGGTAGACGGTCAGCCGCAGTCTTACATGCTCGTGACCCTAGACGAATCGGGCAATCTTACGCCGCTCAACAGCGAGGCGTTGATGTCTCTCGATCCGAACCTCGGACTAGGAGGCGACCTGAGCAACATGGTCCTACAATTCGACCAAAGCGGGTCGAGCGAACAACCCCAAGCGGCCATTATAAAACCACCCGAGCTCCCGGAACCCGTCAAGTCGGTGGAAGTAGAACCTGCACCGCAACCTGTACCGGTAACCGTACCAGAGCCTTCCGTCACGACGGAAATATCCGACACGGCAGAACAAAAAATTGTACCGACAACGGAGCAAGTCGCTGCGAGCACCAACGGCGACTCGGGCCAACAGTTGATCGTAACCGGCGATCCGATAGCCACGCAGAAGTTCTTGGAATCCCTGACAGAGGGCACCACGGACCTAGCGAATATCCTCGCTAACGCCGAGGGCAACAGCATACTGATACAGGCCGACGGCCAACAGATCCTCATCAACACCAACACCGACAACCAGATGTTGTTGTCGATGAACAACGACAGCGCGAACGTAACGGAGAATACCGAGGGTGGCGGCAATCCGATCTTCGCCACGCAACCAAGCAAGAACCAAGATATCCTCGCCGCGGCGCTGGCCGATACCGACGTGTTCCAACAGGAGCACCCGAGCAGCACCCAGAGCAAGATCGTTTCCCAGCTGAGCCCGACCAACGCTTTGTATCCCATGAATGTGGGAAACGTGCTGGAAACCAGCTTAACGTTGAGCTCGCCCATCATGACGCCCCTAGAGGTGCCCAGCACCAACAACAAGAAGATACCCGACGACGAGGCGGACATTTTAACCCAAGTACCAAAGAACGTCGACCTTCCCATCACCATAACCGACCCGAACATCTCTCAGACCGTCGCCAACCAGCAGGTGTCGCAGATGATCGCCAACGAGCTGCAGACTAACCTGGATCTGGCCCTGCCCATATCCGAGACGACCATATCGGCGGTATCGACGGACGTGAACAGTCCCTCTTACGTTTATTCCCTTCCGACGTTGGACGACTCGGTGGAGATGTCACAGAAGCCATTCAACGGCAGCATGCCTCTTCTCACCGAGGACGTCGTGGAGGAAACGGCGGGTAAAAAGACCGAGGAGGAACAGAAGGAGGACCCCCCGAAAGACAAGGACAAGGAGTCGGAAGGTTTCCTGGGGGAGGAGGAGGGCCGGTTCACGCTGGGCGGCGAGATGTGCAGTTCGCTGAGCGAACCGCCGCCCGAAATGTTCGACCTGCCGGAGGTCAGCCAGAATTTCACGGGGAAGGGCGGCGCCGACGTTCCCTCCTTGCAGAGCACCCCCGACGCCAGCGACAACGCCTCGAAAGACGAGGACACGACGGATCTGTCGCAAGCCGACACTTCCAGCGAGGGTTCGTGCGAGATACCGTTGCAGCCGCGGATCGTGACGAAGTCCTTGGATCTGTCGAGGGACTTGGATTCGTTGAAGCGGGGCCTCGGCGACGCCGGCGACGGGAAGAACAAAAAGTGTAAATTCGACTGAGTAATTTGGACGGGAGGGGGCATTGTAAATAATAATGTATAGGGTGAGTAGGTATTAAGTGGCAGGCAGTGCTGAACATGTTTTTGATTTCTGGTTACGTTTGTACATAGTTTGTTATTTATGTACGATTTTGTACATAAAGGAAGCTTTTATTCATAGTTTTTTTATTGTACCGATATAGGTTTCCATGTAAGCACATAAAGTTAACGCATATAGTCGTCGTACCTACCCTAGCCTACTACTAGAGTTATGTGTCATGTGTGATCGATTGTTTCTTTATTTTCTATAAGGTACTGGACATAAATTTCACTCTATTTTTTAGGAGACTAAGATCATGTAGAATACAAGATACATAATTTAAATTTTATCTTTATGTATAATTTTATTAAAAAAAATGAAAGTTAATAATAATTGTTTTCTTTAACGCTCGGTGGTTTTCATTCCAGGCAAAGTTTTCTTCGCCCTTTCCTCCTTAGCTATCGATCAATCTCACAATTTGTTTTTTTTTGGAAAAAACGCTTCAGGTAAGCTCTTACAGTAGCGAAATTCGCTGTTCTAAGGGAGGGAATACGAAACGGTCATTTGAAAATATTTGCAGCGGGAGGTCTTAACTTTTGAAACGAGCAGACGATTGGTGGTTTTCATTCCAGGCAAATCGCCCTTTTGTCCTTAACTGTAGCCATCGATCAATCTCAATTGTTTTTCTCTGAAAGCGCTTCAGGTAAGCCTTCATAGTAGCGAAATTCGCTGTTCTAAGGGAGGGAATACGAAACCGTCTTGAAAATATTTGCAGCGGGAGGTCTTAACTTTTGAAACGAGCAGACGATCGGTGGTTTTCATTCCAGGCAAATCGCCCTTTTGTCCTTAACTGTAGCCTTCAATCAATCTCGATTGTTTTTCTTTGAAAGCGCTTCAGGTAAGCTTTCATAGTAGCGAAATTCGCTGTTCTAAGGGAGGGAATACGAAACCGTCATTTGAAAATATTTGCAGGGGGAGGTGTTAACTTTCGAAACGAGCAGTTTCGTTTTCACAAGAATATTTCTAAGTGTGCGTAATTACTAGATTGTTCGGTTAATCTAGAAAAGTGTGTAATGGTATAAACTGCATATTTTGTTTGCTGCATATTTACAAAATCCAAAGTGTTTATAAGAAGGTTTTTACGGTAAGAAAAATATTTTTAGGGTTTTAAACACAAAAATTCTTAGAATTACAGTTTAATTTTAGATTAGTGTTTGAATTTTTTAGCAAAAAGTAAAATTAATTTTTTCTGTGGCAATGCTACAAAAAAACATTTTTTAAGAAAAAGTAGTTATTAATTTGTTTAATATATATTTAAAACCATATAACTTTTATTTCTTATTGATGAATTAATTTAACATACGTCTTTATTAAATAAAAATGAATTTCATACTCAAAAATAAGTATTAAAACAATATTGTCATAAATTCATTAAAAACCGAAAAAAAAGGCAAAGTTTGAACGACCATAACTCAGTCTATTTTCATCGAAAAAACTTTTATAACCCAGCATTTTGTAGGAAATTTTATATACTTTTTTTTCTATGAAGCAATACCTATACCTATTTCTGCTCAGAAAAAAGTTATTTGCATAAAAGTAAAAAAAAAATGAATTTTTTCCATTTTTTTGTTAAATTGTTTTTAATATATTTTGCAGCAAATAAATTTTTTAAATAAGCTATTTTTACAAAATTTTTCCTATGCAATATCCTCAAATTTTGCTTCGCTTTCGAGATATACTCAAAAAACCGTAAGGGTTGCATTTTCACCCCTATCTCCAATTTCCACCCTCTAATTTAATAGCGCTTCGTAGTTTTTTCATTCTAAATAACCATTTGAAGGATTCATGCAATAAAAACCCATCAACGTTGTAGTTCCATACCATATGACATAATTAATAGCCTAGTAGCAAAATTCGCTATTCTAAGGGAGGGAATACGAAACCGTCTTGAAAATATTTGCAGAGGGAGTTCTAACTTTTGAAACGAGCAGACGATCGGTGGTTTTCATTCCAGGCAAATTGCCCTTTCGTCCTTAACTGCCACACAATAATAATAAAATATTTGAAATATTGATTCATTGACACTTGTCCTTTCGTACAAAGAAATTCAGAATTCCCGTGCAACATTGATTCATACAAGGCAGATCTAGTGTATCGAGCTGATATTTCCAGCGGGGAATCGTACTTAAGGTAAGTATGTGAATAATTGTACGAACAGAAAGCATTTAAAGAAAAACTTCAATATAGGGTGTTATGCGAAAACTTGTCGAAGACGAAGCAATAATATTTTCCAAAATTAAGATTTTCCTATACAACGTGTCTCAATATTTATTGTAACACTGATCCATATGTTATTACGATATTTAAATGGAACAAAATATAATCATATATATGTATATAAAAAGTCCTGCGGTATCAGAATATGCAATTAGAAAAACAATTGAACATCTATTTAAAAAGATATGTCTAAAAAATACATTTTTTGGGAAAAATCCTGATTTTCTTTTATAGAAAATTATGTTTCACCAAAAATTTGCTTCATTTTTTTTTAATTTTAACACCAAACTTCAGAAAGGTATTTTCTAGCAAACATTACAAAAAACTGTGTAACACAATTAAAAATTTTCTATTAAAGAGTACAGCTTACCAGGATAAAATAAGTTTGATACAGAAAAACAGCAAATTTAAAAATGATAAAGGTATTTGTTTAAAAATTTTTAAAATCAGTTACTATCACTATACATACATAGATGGCGCTGAGGGACGGAGTGACAAATTCTGCTGTAGCAAATAACAACGGCCTAATTCTACTGTGCTCAGATAGGTGCCGCTTGATAACTAATTTATTAAAATGACGCGGTTAATTTAAAATTCTTTGCATCCCTAAATTTGCTCTTTAATACCTGAAATATCAATAAATATTAATATAATAGTTAGTGTTAAAGATTTCAAATCAAGCAAATCGGTGTATCCTGGTTACCTCGTCGATAATAATAGTCTTTTAAATTATTTTATAAAAAAATACTTGTTTGTGCAGTGTGCTACAAGAGTCCAGAAACAGTCAATCCAGTTTAGCAGGTAAGAGTTAAACTTTAATGGCATCACTTTTTACTATTTAGATCTTTTTGGTACGCTTTACATTTTACATTAAAAAAAAAACTAACCTAACTTCTTGTCAGTTTAAACTTTAAATGTTTGTTAGTAATATAAATAATCAATAACGTGTATACGGAGCACTTTGGCTATCTATCAGGTTATAACTAATATGTTTAGCCAAAATAAAGAAATCGACCAAATAAAACATTGTTTATTTACAATAAAATAATTATTTTAAGATATAATTCCAGTAAGAACACTGCTATCTTTTTAAAGCCCGTAACTCCGCTGTTTATTAACGAATCGTGACGTCTTTTTTTAAATTGAAGTTTTTTTTTTATTCTCTTTTAGTACATGCAATAAAATACTAAAAATTATAAATTAAGGGCGTATTTAATTTTGCAACTAAGGAGTTTTTTTCAATAATTTCCCTTCGCTATAAAAAGGCATTTTTTTGAGAAAAAACAATGAAACTCGATAGCTTTTTGTTAAATCTACCAATAAAGAAATTGGCGTGGCTTCGGGTACCTCTCAGGTTTGTACAGATCGCCTTAATGTTAAAAATGTTGTCACCGCCGTTCTTGATGGTGAAACTGCAATAGGTAAAAATCACAAATTGGGAACAGCTTGCCCCTGAAGTATACCAAGTAAAAACCGTTCGCAAAAGCGACTGCACTCCTATGCAAAGGAACCCGAACTAGCGGCTAAACTTACCAGTCATAAATACATTATGCGACTAATCTGAAAGTACTAAAGTAATTTTAACTGCTCACCTCCGGAATATAAATCCGGCACCGGAGAAAACACGTAGGTATACGTTCCGGCGGGTTTGTTCGGTTGTTTGTCGAAAGTTTTCACGTTTTCCCGAATTACAACAGGAATAAGTTAGATCCGCGCCGTAATTAGAGTTCTCGTAACAAGTTTTCCAAGGCGCGATCCTTAATAGCCATTAATTGCCGGCGTATTAATTAAAAGATTAACGTTCCTCGCAGTTCCCCGACGATTATCGCACCTTCGCTCATGTCTGACGGTTGCTGATTTATTTAAGGTTGCGTTCTGACGCGATCTGGGGGCGATATTCTGCGTGGCGATGTTACAAAACCGGAAAATAAACGCGAATTACGATATTTTGACGATCAAACAATTAAAAAATTACTATGCTTACCGTGTTATAAAATCATTGCTGTAAACGCGAAGAAAAATATTCTTTATGGCTAGAAAATAAGTAGGTTGAAATACTCGCTTGTATATATTGAATAAAATCGAGTTTAAAATACTTAAAATTATATATTTCCATTTCTCAATTATTATTTTTTATCCAATATGCATAAATATGCCAAAAGTTGCAACAGAAACTTGGCAATAGCGCACGTGTGCTGGGTTTATTATTTGTAAGTTGGCAGTCCTTGTCATGTATGTATATATTATACTATGTGATTGCTCCAGAGATATGGAGTAGGGGAGAATGAGCTTCGACGAGTGCGCATCCACTTTTCTAGGGACGCTACGGGCGCAGACATTTTGAAGGCTTTTACGTCACGCAGTGACGCAGTTGTTGTTGACGTTAGGTTCACAGGTGTGTTTTTTGAGGTTATTCATATTTTTGTTTGTAAATTTCGTTTTTATTGAACTTTAAATATGTCTTGTGCTTTGTACTGTGAAAGGAAGCGCAAATTGCAGAAGATGTCCAATACAAAACATTTCTAAATATTTAGGTAGCTGTACACAAAAATAAGATATTTCCACTTTTTATTCTAAATTTTTATTGTAAACATGTAATTTTTTTATTTCTAGCTTTCCTAGAAATGAAACTTTACTGGACAAGGACAAGGTTCTTTCTATCGAAAAAGAAAATTGGGTATGGACAAAAAATAACGTAATTTGCTCTGAACACTTTAAAGCGGATGATTTTCTCCCCTTTTGTGGAAGAAAAATAGTACGACCCAACTCTGCACCTTCCATAAAATTATTTTGTGGTGTATCTTCTTCCATTTTAAGCAAGAGTACTTTATCGAGTTCAATTAATACAGGAGCTTTGACCAAATTGATGTTACAATCAAGTGAATCATCTTTGACCTATAACGTTACTGAAGTTCGAGTAGGTACAACGTAAAAAGAAGAGACAACTGAATTTAAGGTAATAAAGATTTGTAATTTAAAAATAGTAGTAATGCTAAGGATGTTAAATACGTACCCTGCCAAATTGTTTGATACGGACCTAATAAATTAAGAAATAATATTTACAGTAATTTTATTTTCAGTGTTCAGAATACATCGAATGGTAA